GCGTAGGTAAGTCATCTTACTTTGTACAGATCGAGCGTTGATTAACATAAGTGTCAGGTACGGTGACTGTTTGTCTAGTAGAAGGGTATGATGTAAACCGAGTGGTTTGTCTGTTTTGCCATGAGAAAAAGAAGAATTGGGAGCGTTGACTCCATATTGATGAGTGTTTAGTTTATTACCATTAGGGTTAATGCAAGAAGGGTAGTCGGGTGTGGTTTTGGTGAAAGAAGTATGTCTAAGAGTGGAAGGTAGAGTCGAATGATTAGGTAATGTGTCCGGGGAATGATCAGGGGGTTCAGTCAAGGAGTTTTCAAGACTAGAGACAGTTATCGAAGTTGAGTAGGATGTGCTACTCCCCATTAAATCGGAGTATATAGATGGTTTCAGAATAGTGGGATTGTCGCCCTCAACATTTGGAGACCCCATAGCAGTAATGTTGAGGGGGAGAGAGATAAAAAAGGATGAGATAGTGTGCATGTCGAATTAGGGGGGACTAAACCGTTGTATTGGGTGGCTTGACTTAGATAGTACCTAGAATCTGTAGGTGGGTTCCCAAGTAGGCCAGCGTTATGGCTTCCTCGTGTGCGGTGGGCAATTTTAGTCCTATTGTGGTTAGTTGGGGAGGTTGTATGTTTCTGGTAAGGGATGAAGGAATGCCTGTTATTGTTGCCAGGAGAGGTGTTTCTGTTGTGTATAGTTTTGTGTTGGTTCATGGGGCTTACAAGGTTGACACCATATGACTTATGGGTATCACGTGTGGGTGTGGTTCTTGTCGAGTGTCGTTTCACATTAGGATGAGTGGGTGTTGCCAGTTCTCTATGTTTGTTGTAGGGCATTCTATTACTATGAGAAGGTGCATGTTTTGGGTTAGGGGTGCTGGAGTATTGGTGGGTTTTTACGGAGAGTTTGGTATTTTTTCGCACAGCGGTGTCTGCGGGTCTGTAGCTGTTAGCGCGATCCCTGGGAGGATCATTTTTAGGCATTTTATAAGGGCCGCTAGGGTAATACTTGGACGCTATTGAGGCATAAGTGGTTTGGCATTTTGGGGTAGCTGAGTGTCTGGGCTGAGGGTGAGTGGTTGTAGCTGCTTTATGTGCGGTCTTGTCCTTAGGACTAATAGCAGTGTCCGACGTGCCTCCGTTTTTTGGGGGGGCAGTGTATGATATTTTAGGGTTTGTGCAGTGACAAGAGCTGTAGCTGCCACGGCTACGTAAGCTGGGTTGATCAGTTTGTGTTCCATTGCAGATTCGACGCTGGATAGCGGTCCTGTCATGAATGATCCTAATCTTTTTAAATGTTGGAATACGCCTCAGTAATGACTGACTATTGAGGAGGTGATTAGCTTCAGTGGTGCTACCAAACTGAAATAGAATGGGACAGGAGGCTTTAGTGTGTGCCTTACGTAATCTTCTTGTTACACACCAAGATTGCGACAATCCACATTCTTGTAGCAGAGTATTTTTAGCAATCTTTATGTTCGTACTATCAGGTATATTATACACAATAACATTCTGCATACACTGAAGTCTTTTCAACACTTCAGATGATATATGGTCAATTACTTTTTCAGTGTTTTTTATAATTTCCAGATCGGGATTTTCTGGAACACTGATTAAATATTTGTAAGGTAATAGGTCTTGAATAGTTTGGGTGAGGCTAAGTTCTGTTTGGCTGCTTTTAGGTCTACCAGTGGTGAGATTATCGGAGTTTATATCAAAGTTTCTAAGGTCGATATGGTTACATACAGGCCTGTTGCAGGTGTCTAGCGGATGTTCACTTTGTGCACACTTAGTTGGGGGATGGGGTATATGTCTGGGTGAGTAGTCAAGATCTACATCACCGGGCTGGCTATTGTAGGCAGGCTTACATGTACTCCGTGGGCCGCTACTCAGGATGGCCGATTGTGAGATTGCTGGGTGTTTGGGATCAACAGCACTGTCTAAATACTGCTCACAACATGTGGTGTTTTTGTTTGGACTGACAAATGATGTCGACTCTAACGGTATGTGACTGCTCTTATTTATATCGACAAGCGAGATGCAAGGTAGTGATATGTCTTGTCCAAGTAAACGGTGCACGTTTAGTGTGGCTGAGGGAAGATCAGAGTAGGATGCAGACTGATCAGTGTGTTTATAAGGTTTCACATTATTCGCTTTAGTGACTGATTTAGATCTTTTGCAGGTGCTATAGGCATCAGGAGAGATTATATGTTTTTTAGATGGCCTGGACATTATCGGAAGTAATGTAAATACAAAGTTTAATTAGGTGGACAGCGATAGTTGTAATTTAACTTAGTGAACGTGTGAAGTTTTATGGTAGGATCAGACCCAGTATTAGTTAAGAGTAAATATATTAACGTTAATTGGTGATAGAGATAGCGTGAGAATTAGCAAGATTAATTTATGACGTTGAGTTCCTAAATAAGGTGTCAAATTGATAGAACCCTATCAGTGACGAATTATTTATCGCTATTAAGTGTTAAATTAAAGAGAAAAACTAATAGGAAAATAAAATAATACCACGTGAAAAAAAGTTACAACCTTCAAAAGCGCGCCGAAGTTGTATATCAACAACTTTCGAAATATGTCTTCAAACTCCTACATATCTGACTTCTGACTTGGTTGGATTGGTTTCCTTCGATTATAAAGGCGTTACAGACAAAAGCGTTGTCAAATCCCGAATATCTGTGGCGCCTTTGGTGATGAGTTCTGTGTTGTCCGGTTCAACAAACGAAAAATTGAAAATATTCTTTGTTGTACCATTACATGTCATTTTTATCTCTTACTTATCATGTTACCTTTTTATTCCTATATTTTTCGTACCATTTATATATTTCACGCCCACTATGGTGGAACAGACACCCAAACTGTTGAAAGTTGAAACTCTTATGCCCCGACTTTTCGATTCATACAATTCCAGCTTGATAAGACCGAGGCCTGGTTCCGCCACGCAGTGCTGACACGCGTAAATACGGCGTGCTACTTCCAAGTGGGCTATTCCGAGCAGTGATAAAGGCACGACGGCGTGACTGTAGAAAATACTTTACACCAAATATGTTTACTGGTGAGGTTTTCCATCCTCGCGATACCTTGAAAACAGAGTATCCCTAAACAGAGAGATTCAATCGATCAACAGATGTTGAACCAGCTCGTCCGTAATATGAAGTTGTAACACAACTCAGCATCAAAATTTTGCTACATATGTGGAAGGTTAACAAACTTTTGATGAGGGCCTATTTAGACAAATCTTCTTGTCTAAGGTTCGCCAACAGGTACGAGCGGTTCATGTCACATTTCAAAACAGCACCGTTAACGAACTGACTGCATCTGCCGACCGGATACGGGAGATCGCTAGAACATCAAGCACTGACGTTTTTTCTGTAAATCAAGAGCACCATTCTATACAGAATGACATTGCAAACCTTTGTAATCATCTCACTCTTTATATTTAAATCCATTATAATCGTAGACGCTATAAACCCCCCAAATGCATATCACGAAAAAGATATATCTTTAGACTATGGGAAACAGCATGTTTTCAGACTAGCACCCCTTCGAGAGATTCGACAACTAGACTACATTTCTCAGTTTTTACCCGATCTACAGCACATTTCTGGAGCAAACAATTTAGTGGCAGACATTTTTTCATATGACTTCCCTGATCATTTTGCAAGGAGTCAGCTCTCTCGAACCCACTGAGCTTAAAAAAGAGGGCACTAAACCTCAGCACGAGTTAGCTCTCACAAACTTGAAACTGAATTTAACAGATAGGAACAGGTAAGGAAACTTTGCTATGTGACACATCCACGGGTAGGGATCGTCCAAAGAGTTCCTTATCTCGTTCACTGGATATGGATCTAAATTTCCAAACTAGAGAGCTCACAAACTCCATGCGTCTAGTTAAGCCTGTCTACACCGGAGAGCAGTCAACTGGTATTTTCTTCCAACCCGCCTTATGACTTGATAATCATTTTTGTGAGCCGCGATCCATCACGTTTACCTGGCTAAACTGCATACGAAGAATCCTCCAAAGTTCTACATCACGAAGGTAAGTACTATACCATCCATAATAACGGAACTAACTGTGACATCAGCAATGACAGTCTTAAAGACACTAACTTCAAAGGAGATCATTGTAGATCGCCAACATTGGTGATCTGTGTTGATGATTTAGGGCTTAATGGAGCAAGAGTAAATACAAGAACAGAATGAGACCACTGAAGCGTGAGTCAGTCCATGGAGTGCAATCGATTGGTGCAAGATGGTTGTCCTTGACACTTTCGAGGTTCGTAAGTTCTTCGATACTCAGTGACATGACTGCTAGATGGTTTGGCTAGGAATATTCCACTGGTCTTACGATGTCCTCATCAAAGCACCCGAAGGATTGTCAATGCAGCTATAAAACTCCGCACTATGTTGCAGATGACAAGTTGTAGTTTATATTTCAGTTGTTTCTTTATATGTCACATCAACAGCTTTTACTAAGTTAATAAGCCTTAGTTATATTAGCAACATCAGTTGATAATAATGATGATGCCACAGGTATTCGGAGTTTGACAGTGACACCAGTAACACCTAATATGAATCGTACCCAGCAAGTTAAATCAAAAGACAGAAGCGAGGAGGTTCGAAGATATATTTGATAAGCTATCAATATATCGGGGATTGTCTGATCTAATATGGATAGCGATTACAGTAGATGTTGAGCACGGCGTTCCTACACGTGATCTGATGCGGATGCATGACCGAGCGCCTCCAGCTAGGTGAGTCCATTAAAACTAATGTGGTCAGCATCCAATGTCAAAAACTTAAAAGGCCGTTTATTTTAGGGATTTATTTACCGCTACAGTAGAAACTTCTTCAACTTCTTTTATCTCTCCACTTTGTGACGAATCGTATATCATTTTCTATGTGTGTTTAGTAGGGAGTGTGCTAACTTGGAATTGTTACTTTATCAATCTTCTTGACAATGTTACTAAAATTTCGATGCTTTGTGACTACACGTGAATTAAGAATTCCTAAAACCTACAAAACTGTTTTTACACTCACAAATAAGTTGTTCTAACGATTTTTTTTGAATATAATAATCAAGTCTCGAATTTGTTAGATTCTATAGAAATTTCGTAAAATACTGAAGGCTGGTGCTTTTTTAAAAGCGCACAATATGGTTTTGTTTATCCCATCGTTGCCATTAGACATATGTCAACATTTTATAGTGATCTAGCAAAAGAAATAGAAGACGAAGATACCCCAGTAGGTCTTTTCATATTATGATTATTCATCAACGTAGTTCAATTATAATGAAAGTGTACATGAAGACAGTAGGTTTATATTTATAAAGTTTCTTAGTTCGTATTCAGATGATCTCGATGATCTACTAAATTCACTTGATCAGAAAGACGACTTAAAATTTCGAAAGACAGGTAAAATTTTTAGGGCTATGTCTAATTGCTCAATTAGTTTTAAAACAGAATGGTGATTCCAATTCCAGCCTAGAATTCGGAAGACACACTGAAAAGACTAAAAGCCAAACAAAATCCTCAAAAGCCATTCTTGATGCCCTTATAGACCCATTCGATGGTATTTTTAATCACCACCTTGACCTGTTATAGTTTCAGATCCTGTTTTTGCAAAGACAGAAAAACCTGCTTATAAATTAGATCCTGAATTTGTAGATGAATCCAAACGACGTCCTAATTCATCGACTCCTAAAAGAACAGTTAGATTTTTGGACGACGTTGGAAAAGAACACCAGGAGGTATCTGGTGATAGGCAGTTTGGTGACTCATCTGGTTTTGTAAGTTTGTTAACTTCATGTTCTTTTCGCTTAATACAAAGAATTTATTCACAACGTGTTTTTTCTGAAACAGTACTATACTCAAATATGAAAATAAATGGGTCATTATTATTTGCTGGTACTCATCTGTCTAGCTCTCAAATTATCAACAGAATGCTCTGATATCACTTATTTCGTAAACAAATTTCAGTAGTTGGTGACTTGATTTACATAAATTTTACCGACAAGGATGTTATGTTTATCACCTTAAAACAACGTTGAAGTTGGGGATAGTACGAGTAATATGGAAAGAATGCCAAATGTATCTTACATTGTACCTTCCTGAAATATGCACTCCTTTATTTGCTTGAGATTAGCATACTTCGTGGTTTCATCATTGATCTAGTCAACAAACAAACTATTTACAAAGACTTCTCAAACTGATAGTATTAAAGTTCGATAAAATTCTAAAGCTGGTCAAACTATGACGGTAGATTTGACAGCAAAAACTGTCTTAACCTTGATAGAATCGTCCTCACCTTTACATAAAAGCTGTTCTCTCATCACGAGAAATACTACACCAATTTTATCCACTTAACTGATTTCAACTCAAAATATCGCTAACCAACCTTATCTATGGTTTTTAGTCAAACACTTTCATGAGATTTCAACAGTAATCTTTAGAATTCTATGTTTTGCAACCTACAGACAAAAGAAGATGAGTCGTTTTATGCTAAGCTATCACAAAATACCTATATTTCTAAACAGTTTAAAATTAACTAATTGAATGTACTTTTCGTATGTTTTGTTCGATTAATAAATTTATCACTTCACTAGCTAGTTTGCTGGTAAGTACAAGAATTCATACTTATATGAAAAAACTCAATATTTTACACCGTGAAAGTTTTTTTAGTCTCCTGTTAACGAAAAAATATATGAGTATTTCATTTAAAATTATGTGACTAAATTATATTCGTCAGTCATTTAGATTGACTTGTTAATAATCATCCGCAAATTGAAATTGCGGTTTTTAGTGAGAAACATATCCATGTCAGAGTTCGAAAACCAACTCAACTAATTGAATGCTAAAGTAGCTATGGTTTCAGCTCTGGTTACGTGTTAGTTGACATAAGACTTTGTCTCTATCAAACACAATTAACTAAAGAGCAAACTTTGTAATTCGATGAAATTTTTGTCGCTTATGATGGCGTGTGTGACTTCCTCAATAATTTCAGAATCAAATCTTAACATTAAGTTTATGATGAATATAGACAAACTAGACGGTCTATGAGAACAACCATGGAATAAGGCTAGGAACCGGGGACTCTCAACCAACGAGTCCAGGCCAAGATACATTGTTGGTCTTGAACTCCACTTCCCATGATTATCAAAGTTCATATTCAATACTCAACTATAATATTGTAAATTTATCCATCATATGGTCTTATCTGTTGATAAAAATTGATGAATTTAGTCTACGTCCACGGGTATACTAAAATGGGTATTAATTCTCACGCATTACTTTCTTGATTCGTTGTCTTGTAACTTCATCTTCCTAACTCTTAAGTTAACTTGTTAGTTAGGATTTTGTAGGAGATAATGAATTTTCCCTAAAATACCTGTGGCTACAGCAAAGATTCACGAAGAAGCCTTCAGTGTGAATATGTCAGCACTTATGTTAGTGAGGTTGGTGTGCGTTTTTCTATAATAATACGATTGTAAACCTCATAATCAAACATAGGGAATTAACAACGATTCTTAAAATACTATACTTTGTCAGATTTAATTATTTCTTATGAAAGACGCTCTTGATTTACACAGACTTCTGTTCATTCAATAAAAGATACCCTCGAAATCTAAAGGCCATATTAATGCTGCTTTCGGCCTTTCTCCCTAATATCGTAGAAGTAATGTTGTAGGAATTTATACTTTCCCATTGTTTAGTTGAAATGTGATATAGAGGGATAAAAATAAGCCCAGTAATTAAGTCTTAGTTTCACAAGTTAATTAATAACTGTGCGTTTTTCTGAAAATTATTTACGTCTAAAGCGAATTTCAGCTGTGTTTATTTCTATATTAATTATTTTTTTAATAAATGTGTTAATTCGATAGAGACAAAAACTTGCTTTTTTGACCAGCTGTTCTTTTTATAAATATTTATTCATGAAGGAGGGGCTATACTAAATAATTCATTTTCCATTAGAGATTCTCACTTGACCATATGAATTACACCAGTTTAAACAATTGGTACCAACCAACGTAGTCCTTAAAGTTTCCTTGCTTTGTAACAATTTTAACACATATTATTTGCGAGCTGATAACTCAATATTATCCATACTTACATAGTGATTATATTTTGAACTTACAGTGGGACTCGTGCCACCAAATGCTCTGGCACGGCCAAGGGTCGGGAGAGTCAGTTTTCTCTTTCTCTCTCTCTCTCTCGAAATGCTCTCACATTGCCATATGTATACAGCTACCGCCAGAGAAGTCATACTCACTGCCTCCGAGTTTAATGAAAAAAATGCCTGGCGCTTTATCCGGGTTGGTGGATATGGAGAATCCACATAGGGGAGTTGGAAAACCTGGTTTCAAACCACTGATACACATGGGCTCCAGAATCCTAAGGAAACAAATGGCGTATAAACCTGTTGTTGATCACTGGTTACCATAAGACTGCATCTCCTTGTGGGGCCTGATATTTTGTCGTCGTTTAGATCAAACGGTGTTGTCGAAAGGGCTCTCCACTTCAGTGGCCCGTTAATCTGACTCCAATTAGACCGTATTAATGTTTGTTATCGTCTATCCTTGTATATAGTCATCGACTTAAATCGCGTTAGTCAATAACGGAATTAAATAAGTCAAACAACGAGAATGGACTTTTGAATACATATATTTTCTATATGCAGCGAATAGAATATAGAGAAGCGAAACGACGTGCAGTGGAGATGGCGGGTAAGCCAACTCTCCTTTAACCAATCGTCAGTCAGTCAGCTACAACGTAGGACCAGGCACATATGTGCATCGGTCCAGGTTGCCATACCGCATCAGCACAACAAGATGAACACCGGATTCATAAGAGTGGTTAGGTCAAAGGTGGTAATAAATAAGAGGGAGATTGCATATAGAGATATAGTACAAGAAGAAAGAATTGGTTCGTAGAAAGAAAGATATGAAGTGATTTTAATCTCTTAGTTTAAGGGAGACAGGGAGTGTATACACCGACGCCATTGTGATCGATTCTGAGCCATGTCATCAAGAGTCTCAACCATTGGTTACGAAAGTCACGCGGACCCCAACCAAGTAGTCTGCATCTACCAACATGGCTCAGACTAGAAGTCAGGACTTCAAGCACTGATGCCACGTTTTGTTTGGCCGCCCCTAACTTTCTTCCAACCATCTCCAATACCGGATAGCATTGCACGTCGTGGTAATCGGTGTTCAGGCCACGAAAAGGCCGTGCGCGACCGTCTCAAGCAGTTGTCCCTTGAGCACTGCGGTCACGCTCTCAGGTCACTGAGACCACCTCTAATCCAATTTCCTTTTCAGGTACCTCCAGAAGAACCCTTCCTCGGTGTGGGCGACCGGGAAGTGATAACCGCCCTCATACCTCTAACAGCACTCGAGACCACTGTATTCATAATCAACCTTCCTCTTAAATTCCTATTATTCCTCCTACATCGACTTTCAACCCTAAACTTCCTTTTTCGGCTACCTCCTCAAGTGTCATCATAGCCAACGATTCTAGCGCTCGAAACACTGTCCCAGGTCTACTGAAACCTCGCTCCAAACTACACATTGGAGCCTTCAACGTACGCACCCTATGTCAAATCGGTCAGCAGGCTTCCTTGTCTAAAACCCTAGAGTCTCTTTCCATTGATGTATGCTGTGTCTCCGAAACACGCATAGAGGACTCCAGTGTGGTCATTCACCTGACTTCACCTCGGCAAAACGGAGAGCCAACGAGATACACCCTCCGTGTATCCGGTGACCCGATGGCCAGTTCTCGTGGACTGGCAGGTGTAGGCATAGCACTAAGCATGAGGGCGGAACAAGCACTGCTAGAGTGGATCCCCGTCAACAGTCGTCTATGTGCTGTTCGGCTAAACGGCTCCGTAAGAACTCGGAAGGATAGGGACACACGTCGTTGCCTTTTCGTCGTTTCTGCCTACGCTCCCACTGACTGCAGCTCAGATGATGTGAAAGATGAATTTTACAGAAAGCTTTCTGAACTTCTTCAGAAAGCTAAACGCTCAGACATAGTACTCATAGGGGGTGACTTTAATGCTCAGATAGGTAGCTTAAACCAAACAGAAAGGCATTTAGGTGGATATTTTAGCATTCCGGCACAGCGAACAGATAATGGTGACTAGTTAGATGGGATAACGTCTAATTCCCAGATCTTAGCTAAAATATTAGTCAACCTAATCGCTAAAATTGGACCACCATCCTTAAAGACCTCTGGAGCCAGTCCATCTGGACCAGCTGCCCTTCCTCGTTTCAGATTATCTATAGCCTTTTGAACTTCAGCGAGAGTTGGGGGACCTACTTCAATGTTCCATTCACACTGTCTGGAATGGAGGGTAGTTGTAGAGTAGCTGAAGGCCAGTTGAACTGTTCTCTGAAATGTTCCGCCCATCGTTCTAAACGTCTGGACTGGGAGCAGATGAGGGTGTCGTCTTTTCCGAAATAATCTCACTTACACTTGACTTACTAATTCCATATAAAAACAGTCAACATTGATAAGCGAATAAATAACAAGGTCAGAATGTGACTCCAGTTGGATGAGTAGATTGGCCTGTCCGAAAGCCAGAATAAGGTATATGGGCTTAACATAATAACAGACACTATATCCTTACGTTGCTTCACTGCCTTGTGGGTCAGACTTTTAGGTCAAAGGTTTGGGATGTGGCCCTCTAAAAAAACCACCTGCTTCGGTCTTGGCACCCGGACATTATATATATATATATATATGTATATATATATATATATATATATATATATATATATATATATATATATATATAAGGACTCGTAGTACATGTTTTTCTCGTATTCAGGACTGAAAAACTGAATATACTTACTTTAAAGTAGTTAAACATTACAAAAATAGAAAAGTACAAGTCATTAGAATGGACTTACAAACCGTATCATTAACAAAACCTATCACTTTAATGGATGATGCTTACGCGTTTTAGGATCTATGAGTACTTGATCCCCGTTTTATGCTAAATATTAATAGTTGATGACTTCTCAATAAAATAAACTACACAATCTACATTCTACTGCTACTCAATATTAAAAAAAATATGATCAACTTGAAATGATTAATCACTTTACCCAATTATTAACGAGTTCGTGCCTTACTGTTTTCTTTCTTGCTATTATTTACAATTACTATAGGATCAATTCGATTTAGACATACAAACGACTAAAACGTTATGCAATAATAACAACTCTAGTTCAATTAGACCTCAAACAGCTCCAACGCCATCAGGATGTGGAAAATTCACATTTAAAAACCTAATTGATAATGATGATAATAATAATAAAAGGTTAGCTACTTATTCCATTGAATGATTATATTTTAAACAGATCAGTTGATCTCAATATATCTGAATTGTGTCTGTCAGTGAAATTCAGGATCTATATTTCTTTCCATTTAAAACTTGTCAATAAGATATGCTTGAATCTTTGTGTTGACGTTCATATTTAGACTCAAACATATGAGGTATCACTCTAAAGCATTTTGGTACTACCATTTTACAGAAGTGGAAATATAAGAGAAAACTAACTAGGTCAAAAACAATTTATTTATACTAGTAATTTAATAGTTAAATTCATGGGTCAATTGAAGTTAGACCACCATAAAAGACCTGGAAGCACTGGATGGCCATTTCGTCCTGTTGTGGAACTCCTCAACAGTGCCCATCCATCGTCTGGCCTTGCGAGATTCAAAACCTGAGCCTATCAGTCTCGCGCGCGAGCGATTGACCACTTAGAAAGGTAAAGGATAAATACACCCTAATTGAGGATTGTTTTTAGACACTTACCTAATTTATACGCATTTTCAGTTACAGATTTTCAGCATTTGAAATATCAATGAAAACATTCTATGAGTTCACAGTGGAACATTGAGTGTCCTTAGTTTAATCCCACACAGGTCACGGATGCACTGAGATGGAGAGAGGGACATTACATGCTATGATGTAACAGTTATTCAGTAGTCATAGTTTTCATTTGTCCTCCAAATGATACTTTACCTTAATAAAAACCATCTACAAATAAATAAATCCTTTTGACTTAGATCGACTTTGTAATCATGTTACCTATTTTCTTCCATCAGAGAGTGCGATTATATTTCAGATAAAAGTTGAAATGTCTGTACCGTTTCTACACAATTTAAATCAATGGTCAATGATACCGTAGACTAATCTCGTGTTGTGTGACATGAATGCTGTTAATCTATACTTGCAAACGGTAAAGAGGTGATTGCACATGTATATAACATTTTAAATTTGGTATAAACACTAAACTTTCAATGATTTACTTGCAACTTTCCATTCTGTCCTAACAACTTTAGCTCTAAGAGTTGGATTTTATTTCAATAGTCTTGTGTGATAGCATGGAATAAAGCAAGTGTGTCAATTGACTGATAACTTAGTTATAATAACTAGTATCATGCCTTTAGTGGTGATAGGATTCCATCAATCAACTTGCAATGTAGCCATTAATCTAAGTGATTTAACATCGTCTCAGAGTTATATGTGGAGTGATACAGGTTCTTCAAAATTTTAGATATGCTTTGATAACGTGTACCCACAATTGATTGATCACTGGGTGGCAATCAATGTCATGCGTGTCTAGTCCTTATTAGTGCAGATCGAATGCTATCGATCATGTTGCAATGTGGCCACCAGTCTAGGTGACTCGACACTGCGGGCACTATATATTGAGATTTGGATGGTGGTTGGAGATAGTCGACAAGAAACTCTGGACCCGGGTTTCGTGCTACTTGGCACTCGTCAGCAAGGTATACATGTAATCTTGAGGGAACTGGTGCTCCCTGGTGTGTACCGTCTGGTACAAAACCCAAACAAAGGATAACTTTAACAAAATGTCCTAGATCACCTAACGTCAACTTTTCTTTGGCCAAGCAAACACAATCATAATAAACACATCATAATTTATTTATATCATGCTTTATAGCGGTCTGTGGTTTCCTGTTTTTGAAATTCGGGGACGAATATAGTCAATTTTTATTTACACACATCCTCTTTGTCTAGATGCCTCCGCTAGTTACAGATTTATTGTATTTTGGGTATCATAGCTAGTTATGCAATGGTTAGTGAATTTGAGTCTTAATGTAAGTTTATACTTAGATAATGGGTCCTGAATAGGATGAAATGTGTATCATTCAATCTACAAATATATGATAAGCCTGTAATCCCTCTAGAGTTACTGCCGGTTCCAAACCCGGATAAAGGAGGAGAGTTTGTATCATTATATAAATGTAATTGAAAAAAACTACTTTCTTCTATTCAATTTACTCTGTTTGTACTTTGTTTTAAAGCTCTTCAAATCAAATTCTTAATCTTTTATCCGATGATAAATTAATTGACAATTCAAAATCAATGAAATCTACTCGATCTCATACACGTCGTCCTTCATCAATAGAATCAATTCATCCAATTTCAAGTAAGAGAAATATTATGAATTAAAGTTTATTCAACGAAGGTGGTTTATGATTGTTAAAATGAATAAATAATGTAATGTACTACTGATGTTGACAGATATAAGTAGTGTGTAGCATCAATCGGAAGTGAAACACCTGATGGTAGAAGGTTAAGAAGATTGAAGAAAAGGAGAACGAGAACAAAGAATGGTGTGGAAATGAGTCAGTCAGTCAGCTACAACGTAGGACCAGGCACATATGTGCATCGGTCCAGGTTGCCAAACCTCACTAGCACAGCAAGATGAACACCGGATTCATAGGAGTGGTTAGGTCAAAGGTGGTAATATATAGGAGAAAGATTGCCTATAGAGATATAATACAAGAAGAAAGAATTAGTTCGTAGGAAGAAAGATATTAGGCGATTTCAATCTCTTAGTTTAAAGGAAGACAGAGTGTGTATACACCGACGCCATTGTGATCGATTCTGAGCCATGTCACCAAGAGTCTCCAACCATTGGTTACGAAAGTCACGCGGACCCCAACCAAGTAGTCTGCATCTCCCAACATGGCTCATACTAGAAGTTAGTGACTTCAAGCACTGATGCCACGTTTTGGTTTGGCCGCCCCTAACTTTCTTCCAACCATCTCCAATACCGGATAGCATTGCACGTCGTGGTAATCGGTGTTCAGGCATACGTAACGCGTAGCCCAACCATCTCAGTCGATGAAGATTCATAACCTCATTAACTGATTTACCGTCATTCCCTAATACCCTGCGTCTATCCTCACTATTACTTACCCGGTGATTCCAGCAGACGCCAACAATATTTCTAAGGTATCTGTGGTCGAATAGTAGTAGCTTACGAGTGTCTTCTACTCTTAAAGGCCATGTTTTGCTGCCGTAAAGTAGAACAGAACGGACTGCCGCGCAGTATACTCGTCTTTTATTGATAGACGGATATCTCGCCTTTGCCAAAGGTGACGTAAGTTGGCAAAAGCCAAACGAGCTTTTCGAATCCGTGCTGAGATTTCGTCAGATACCAACCCATTAGGGGTGATCAGACTTTCAAGATAAGTGAAGTTGTCAACGCGTTCGACTACTTCACTCCTATCCTTAGTTCAGGTGTTGACGCAGACCAGTTCTTAAGCAACAACTTGCATTTCGAGGGAGAGGAGCGCATACCAAACATTCTGGCATTGCTGCTCAGTGCTGCCAAAAGACTCTGTATTTTATCAGCGTCTTCACCAAGCAGGACTATGTCATCTGCGTATTCTAAGTCGATAAGTGGACCTCCTGGAAGGAGGTCAATACCCGAGAATTCAGTCGACGAGAATTTTATCTCCATCAATAGGTCTATGATGAAGTTAAACAAAAACGGAGAAAGTAGACAGCCTTGACGGACACCACTTGAGGTTGTCGGTGTGTCTGTGTGGAAATGAAGGAACAATCAAATCTGAGATGATTGATTGACATTTTGTAAATGAAGTGTATATTGTATGGTTCTCAGATTTTACTAAGATGTTCTGTAATTTTCATATTCAAATACATTCGATTGTCCCGATTGATGTTCTCGTTCACTATGATAGAATAGTGCTCGATAGATATTATACAATCATACGATGTGACCAAGTTCTTTTTTTTTGAAGTAGACGTCAGTGAACAGAAATTGCACCAATGTCTATTAATATTAAGTCAAACAATTAAATTAGTTTGCGTTGTGAAGTAGATTATACACCTATTACTTGCTTACTTACGCCTGTTACTCCTAGTAGAGCATAGGCCGCCGACTAGCATTCTCTAATCCACTCTGTCCTGTGTCCTCCCTTCTAGTTCTATACAATTTTCGTTCATTCTTCTCATGTCTGTTACCACTTCCCGGCGTAATGTGTTCCTCTTCTCCTTTGGACTAGTTGATTCCAATTAAGGGCTTCACTTGTGACACAGTTGGGTGCTTTCCTCAATGTATGTTCTATTCACTTCCAGCGCTTCTTCCTGATTTATTCCTCTGCCGGAATGTGGTTTGTTCTCTCCCACAGTAGGTTGTTACTGATAGTGCCTGGTTAAATGATCCAAAGTAAAGTATATTATATAACATCACATATCTTTCAATGATGATTCTATGATTACTGTACATAGTTTAATTAGATAGTCTTTTACATAAATAAATTAATGTTAATTTGTATGTTTTAAAATGTTGTTCTTCATCATTAGTCACTCAACTACCAAATGATTTGGACAAACTAGACATTGATCGTCCACGTTCAACATCCTCTTCATTATCATCATTTGATAGAGTAAGTTGTCATTATTTTTTTGAATACAGAAAGAGAATAAGTAGTAATAAATGATATAGAACTCATATTGGATCATGACTGTCCAAGATCTCTTTCATTTAGAATTTGTATCTTACTCTTTTTTTTCTCTATAATGAATGTAATAAAAACTTCAAAGTAATGATCGATAGGATTCGATCTGCACTAAGAAGGATCTGACATATGTGACAATGATCACCAGCCAGTGATCAATCAACTGTAATTTGTAGTTCGAACAGTGTCTTGTAAAGTTTCAAGCTATGGAGTTATTCTATCTTGTAGATTTCACTATGGGATCAATTTTATTTCCAATAAATGTGATTACTATACATCTATATTTAACTCCTTAGTTCCACTTCATAAACAAACTATCTTGTCATTGTCTATTAGTAATCAAGTGCATTCCTTATCACCATTTTGTACTAAACATTTCATGTTACAAATACATAAATAAATGTAGCTGGTAATTGACATAATGATAATTTTCAGTTAATAGTTGAGTTCATGAGTCAGTGAAACCTAGACCACCATGAAAAACCTGGAAGCATTGGATGGCCGTTTCATCCTAGTATGGAACTCCTTAACAGTGCGCATTCACGATCCCGCTTGCGAGATTCAAATCCAGGACATTTGGTTTTACTCACGAGCTCTTAACCTCTAGATCACTGAACCGGCATCCAATGGTGTTAATAACTAACTTCAACTAATCCACGAAATTACACCACCGTCCACCAATGTCTTCAGTGAGTTACTATCTCACAACAGACTTGGTTGAACTTCACTCATCACGGATTCTCACTAGAACTTCTGGAAATTTTCTGTTAAATATTTATTTATTTATTTATTTTAACACATAGAATATTGGTACAAAGAGGCACCAATTATATATGCGCCACACAAATCTCATTTGATTTGTGTGAGGGCACTGATACTGCCCGGATGCCCAAACCGAAGCAGATGGTTTTCTTAGGGGGCCACTCTCCGAGCCTTCGACCTAAAGGTCTGATCCACAAGACAGTGGAGCATCGTAAGAAGATGCAGTCCAATGGTAGCCGGTGACCGACGATTGGTTCATACACCATTTGTTCCTTCAGGATACTAGAGCCCATGTGCACCATTGGTTTGGAATCCGGTTAAAGTGCCGAACATTCGCTTTTCGTCCTCTCAATTTCGTAAACTACACCCCGCCACGAGAAGGCAATGAGTAGGACTTCCCTGGCATAGGCTATATACGCGTGGCCATGTGAGAGCATTTCGAGCGGGAGAACGGACTCTTCCCACTCTCAGCCGTACCAGGGCATTTGGAGGCTTCTGTTAAATAAAACCAGTACTTTCTCTGTATCACCTTTTCTCTTACACTCTCTCATAGAAAAATACTAATTATGAATCTATGGAGTCGGAAGCCCAAATTAAACGTCTTGAAATGGAACGTGATAATTTAATTAATTTATTAGAATTAATTAAAAACAACATCGTGAAGAATTACTAATTATGGAGCAAACTTTAAAGTAAGTTTAGCGCGTAGAACAAGAATCATGATGGAAATTTTATTTGCTCTTTTTTCATGTTGTTAATTCATTCAATTTTGTTGCTTCACATCATGAAATAACGATTGAAGACCTAAAGGTACTGGGCCGATGTTTACTTCTAATATGAGGTCCATCAGAAGTAAACACACACGAAGTATTCAGGGGTCAAACCCAGAACTTTCACTCATCCTCCTCATCATCATTAAAGCCTATTTCAAGTAGAAGTAGGTGATGAAAAACATCTAACTTTGCTACAAATCTCTTCTCCATTAAATTTAAGATTGATTTATTTCAAACATCAGTACTGATTAAATTATACGGATTCCAATCTACTTCTTGTTCAGATTATTGGAGATTTTATTCTCAATAGCAGATCGTCCTTAGCCACTGACTTATGGAGAACAACTTATTCACAGATCTAGATCATCTTTTTACAACTATGTTAATATTGTGAGACATCCTACGATTTTTAATCTATTGTAACTAATATATTATACTTTTAATCACCAACATATTGCGACGTTAGTGATTGTGAAATTTAGGGAGAAAATAATACCATAGTGATTAATATACCTTCATCTTTGTCTGTTCTTTGAGAAAACAATAGATGGTTTCATTGAAGTCCATAAATTTGATTGATACGGGGTTTGAATCCTATAGGGAACATCGGCTTAAGATTCTAGGTAAACCTTACTGACGAATATCTACTAGCACAAAAACTAGGTCCGACTATCTTTAAAATCTTTTTACAATATCAGAAGGGTTTTTGTGGATATGATAGTAATTTCAATGGTTGATATTATAAGTCAACTGAAGCTAGACCACCATGGAAAACCTGGAAACACTGGACAATCGTTTCGTCCTGGTATGGGACTCCTCATCAGTGCACATCCACGATCCCACCTTGTGATATTCGAACTCAGGACCTGTTAGTCTCACGCTCGAGCGCTTAACCTCTTTTTCACAATGAATAAATCGATTACTGTTGCTGTGATATACTACTGACAATATTGTGAATATGATTTTACTATTGTTCATCTCAATCATTTTCTTTTTTTTGTAGAACTAAATTAGATTTGATTAAAGAAAGTGCAGAACGTAAAGAGAATCGGTAAATCAGTTTCATTTTACATTATTTCTTTGTTGATCAATGTACTATCTTCTTTTCTTTTTTTACGTTGTATTGCTTAAAACCCTAGAAGTGATTGCATAGAAAACCAGTAAGTAAATGCTTCCAGATTTCCAACCAAAACTGATAACTCAACTCAGTTAGTTATCTAATGATTATTGGTTAAACTTCAATATTTGTTTAGTTATTTTCAAAGAATACCATAGTGAATAACCGAGACTAAATGTGTTACCCATTGTCTAACAATGAGATTTCGATTAATAAACGTTTCGTTGATCATTCAGATAATTTCATTGATTTGTAAAGATGTACTATATGAGTTGTTTACTCTCAAGCTGAAATTATCGTTCACTCTACCTACCTTGATGCCTTATATTGACCAAACTAGCAGTAAGTTGAAAGAAAGCTAGAATCTGCCATACTAATAGCATAAGTCCAAAAAAGTCATTAACTCTTGATTTAAGCTATATGAATAGGCACAAAGTACTTGGCTGATGCCTACACAATCCACACGATCAATGGAACATACTTCAAACGAAGTTGTAGTAGTTCAGATACAATAATTTTTTATCTTCCTTCTTGTTAGGTCCCGATAAACATAATGGATGGTAACTTTTGGGATCCTTTTATGGACCAATACTAAACGTATATTTTTATCGTATAATTGTTATGTAACTAAACTGTTCATATTCATGTCCTTCTTATTATGAGCTTTATTTTGACCCATAGACTATTATTATACGATTTACCATTCTTGAATTATGTCCTGACTATTAATTACTACCTCCCTCACCCACAGCCACTTTTGGCCAAATATTGTACAAACGTTGTTCCATATTTTATGGTACGTTGTGGTCTGTTTGATTGGTATATAAACTCAGTATGTTTGAAATATAAGGATTCATATTGCATAGGCTGAGATTGGTATTCTGGACTTAACTGACTGTGGTAGGCGGAAAGCAGGACCAATCAGGACTCTAGGCTGCTCGCGCGTGTTTTACGCGTCCTTGGTCCGATCGACAATTCACTGCTCTCCGATTGGCGGTCACAAGATCTAACACTTCTGATCATAATTTTCAATATGATTTCATACTTTTTGTTCTCTTATTTCATTTCATTTTCAAATCATAGTCTCTATCAATTCGGTCGTGTTTATTTAAGTATCAATTCTGAGATCTAAGTACATCCAGCTGACGAGTACCAAATAGGACGAAAGGCGTGTCCTGAATTCCATTGTTAGCCATCATCCATCTTTGCTTATCATAATTTTTTCCTCATTCTCCTTTCTAAACTAATAATCTAACTAATTTATTAATTACATATTAATGTAGTTAGTTTTAAGCTGAATTCTTTGTATATACACGTAGTGGGTTGTATAGTTATCTGTATCAATGTACATGTAAGAAAGTTTGAATCTATAGTCTACTGATTGAAAGTTGAATGCTCAATCAACTGTTCCATTACTATTACATATAATCAATCAAAACAGATACCTCTTACCCCATTTAAATTTACTTCCCCCTTGGGAGTAATTAAAAACCTGGATAACCTATATAAATCACAATGATGAGATTCTCTATTAAGTTAATCTACTATATAAAATTTATGACTAAGTATTAAAATAATGAGGTTTTAATTGAGATTATCAATCGAACGACGTTGGACCACCATTAAAAACCTGGAAGTAATAGACGACTATTTCGTCTTATTTTGGAGCTCCTCAACAGTACGCATCCACGATCCCGCCCGCTTGATTCGGACGCAGGGCCTTCAGTCTTGCGAGGAAGGCCTAACCTACCAGACTACTGAGGCGGCCGGTATCCAACGATGTTGATATCAAACCTCAACCAATCCACGAAATTGCGCGACCATCTTCCATTGTACTGGGGTACATACCTGACATGCATTAGCTCCACTGGTCACGGCTTCTCACTAAAACTCCGAGAATTCCTTCACTTAGCAAGTCACTAGTGAATACATGGTAATTATCAGTATAAGGTTGTGGAGATTATTATGTTATTGATTGAGATCGTAAACCGATTGATGTTAGACCACCATTGAAAAGCTGTTTCGTCCTATTATGGGACTCCTCATCAGTGAACGTCCACGATCTCACTCTTGGGATAAATCGATTCTCTATTTGATTTTCATCTTTGATTTTAAAAAAAGTTATCGTCAAGTGAGTTTTATTTTATTTTTTTAAATTTAGTCTTAGAGAAGAAATCAATTACCTTGAAATACAGAATCGTGAACGATTAGTTCAAATTGAGAGAAACGTGATCATTTATTAACAGATTTAACAAATAAATTGAATGAAGCACATCAAACACATCAACGTGAATTGAATGAATTAAAACAGTCACATAAGTAAAACATTTTTTCCGCTTTCTATATCTCAATTATTATAGGGTGTAATGATGATTGACATTGTTTAATAAATAACAAAGTAGTTTTTGAAGTGCTCCCTCTCTTTTAGTAGTCTCCAAATACCCTGGTACGGCCGAGTGGAGAGAGTCCGCTCTCCCGCTCGAAATGCTCTCACATGACCACGCGTATATAGCCTCTACCAGGGAAGTCCTACTCATTGCCTGCTCGTGGCACAGGTGTTGTCTACGAAAATGAGAGGGCGAAAAGCGAATATCCGGCACTTTAACCGGATCCCAAATCAATGGTGCACATGGGTTCCAGTATCCTAACGGAACAAATGACGTATGAACCAATTGTTGGTCACCAGCTTCCATGGGGATGCATCTCCTTACGATGCCTCCTTGTACCAATATCTATGTGTTAAAATAAAATAATTTGGTGCCTCCACACAAATTGAATGACTTATGTGGCGCATATCTATTTCATGCCTCCTTGTACCATTGTTTATGTGTCTAAATACTAAAATAATAATAATCTCGTAGTCTATCTAATGCCACTTGATGTATATGTAAAAAACAGAGCCTTAGAATACTATAGACACTGAGGTGTTTAATATCACAGTTATGATTGCCGGTAAAAACAAGGTTACAATCCATTGGTAGAAAGCCGTGTATTATCAAAATGTTTTGTTACTTAATACTTCCCAACAAAGCGTATTTGCAATATTGAAGAAACTGATGCTGCTCATAAGATTCATACTCATGTTACTACTCAGTTCCAGTTAGAAACGCTTCCGCTGAACTGTTCAGGTGGTGAATAACCTTTTGTTGGACTGAGTTATGCACATTGATTGGTTAATGAATGGTGACTGATATAATCTTTTTTCAGCTCTTTACTATTGAAAAGTCATTATGATGATTGCCGCTCACCATGAAACCTAGATAAAGGCGTGTTATTGTGCCCATTTTCCTAACCAAAAACTTAAATTAAGATGAATTGCCCCTCGATATCGAGCCATCTACACTAGTGGAGAAATTCCAGATTGATAGTAGAAATCTGATCAGATATAAGGAATTGATAGAAATCGCCCGATAACCTATTGCCATTGTGAACAGAACAGTTATTCACAAAGTATGTGGATTAACCTAGATAATTTATCTAATTAGTACACTTGGTATTCAGCAACGTCGATCGCCCTGTATTTTTCTTCATTAAGATAACTTTCCAACTGTTATCATTCATTTTTGATCCTTAAAGTAACAGATTCTAGAACAATATTTGAAATGGAAAATAGATCACTCAATGAGCTTCAGATGAAATGGCACAATTTCTCTGTCACTGAAGTAAAACTATCTATTTATTTAGATATGATATGATGATTTGTCCAATATAAAAAGTGGTTTAGCTCATAGGTTGACTTCAGCTAGACAATTAATGATCAGTTGCTTCATCCAAGTGTGAGACTCCTCAGCTGTTACTGGCTAAATTCCTACTTTGTGGTCTAAATGTAATACTTTCAATCCATAGGTCCCTTGAGTTTCATCCCTGATGAGGTCATGAATACTCAGTACTAAAGATTATCATATTAAGATGAAATAATGACTGATTTTTTTTTCTAATATCTTGGTCAATTGATAGTGAATGCCATTTTGTGAAACAACAGCTACCTAAGCATATAGTTATCTCTTTTAAAAAAAAAACCCATTTCAGTGAAGAAATTGAAATGTTAAAAAAACATCATCAAGAATTAATGGATCGGTTAAAATGTGCATCACAACATGAAATACGTACAATCACTGAATTACAACCAAATAGTGAACAATTAAAAAATCTTTTAGAACAAATAAAAACTACTTTAATCGATTTAAGTAGATCACAACAAGAACAAATAAAAAATACAACAATACGACATGATCAATTAACAAGACGTGAAGAAGCATTACATATACTTGAAGATAAATTAAATCAACGTGTAAGTGTTAATAAATTTGTTTGTTTTTTCCATTGATTATTGAAAGAAGTAAATGACAGGAACATCTTATCAGTATAGGGTTATGGAGATGATGAAGTTATTGTTTGAGATCTTGAACCGACTGATGTTAGATCACTATTGAAAATTTAGAAGCACTAAACGGCCGTTTCGTCTTACTGTGAAACTCCTCAGTGATGCGAATTCACGATTTCACCCGCGGGATTTGGACCTATGGCTTTCAGTCTCGCACGTGAACGCTCAACGTATCAGACCATTTGAGCCGGCCGGTATCTAACGGTGTTAATATCTAACCTCAACCAATTCACGAAATTACGGTACGATCTTCTTGTTGGAAGTTCTGTGATACTATACTGATCTAGCTTCAGTCGACTCATGATCTCAACTATTGAAATTACTATAATATCCACAAAACCCCTTTCTGATATCTTAAATTTGTTTTAATTAACTAATTATGTCAATCGACTAAATGTAATTACTTGCTTTCAAAGTATGTTTAAAGCCTATTGCTAATCTCATTACTGAACAACTCAATAAGAGTAGCACTATGATGGTTAACATATTTTCTCCATCTTTCTCTATCCTTTGAAGAAATGAGAATGGATCATTATAGAAGTCGTCTATCAAATACAACATGGAGGCACGACTAATCACAAGAACAATCAGATATAGATAGGAATTACATTTTGTACGTATTCATTAAATAATCACAAGTTACATAAGTATACAAAGGGGGGATTTGTTACAATTTCGCAGGTTTTATTATCAGAATTAATTAATATAATCATATATACCTGGAGTTTGTACTGATGATCTCGTTCGAAAGAACGATGAAAGCTCCACTGTGATGCGTGCTACTTATATTGATGTAAGTAGTATATGACGCAAGTTAAAAACATAATGTCTGGCAGCAGAAGATGGGGGAAGATCAAGAAAGGAAGAGCGAAAACACAATGCAATTTATAAGAAAACGCATGAACAGTGAAATGTGAGACAATGGATTGATGTTTACAACAGAAACAATCCAGGTTGATATGATGGATTGATATTTTGCAGATTAACGATTTACTATATGGTTTTTCTATTTTACCGAGTAACTTTATAATCTCGTGGTGAATACTTTCGGTTGCCCCCACCCGTGTTCTGTTCACTACACCACGAACAAACCATCCAGCTCAGAGAACAAAAATCCATTGAAATCATCCACCTTAGCTACAAGTCTTCTCCATCATCTCATATATACATGGTATTCATTCTATTTAATAAAAATCGTATGTGCCTTAAGTTCGAGGATTGTTTCAATTTATATACCGATTCATCTCTATTCTTCCAGCATCCGAGTCATCAATGTTCTAGCTCTAGTGGGTATAAATAGTTTTTGCATCAATTCAATAAAGCTAATGTCATCAATAACCTTTTTGGAAAAAATAATCACTTCGTCAATAAGATGACTGTGGTTGTGAATAGTTTTCACGAACCAATTGTAATCAATAATCATTTTATGGAAATCATTAACTGATCTAGATCGATTTAACACTTTACAATCTTCACAACCCTCCATACTGATGGATCATCATTTTGTCTAAAATGATGCGTAATATTAGTTGCAAATTCATGTCTGTCAGTAGGAATCTCAATTAAGATGTATCGACATTCATACATGTAGATGTTTATTTTAAAGAGTAAAGATTTTATGTTAGGAAACCCTAAATTGTCCTACTTTTTGGATCTGGTCAGCACCTAGGGGGGAACCACGACTTTCAACTGGTTGTTTCTAACCACCCAATATTAAGTTTCAAGTCAATGTGATGTCGAACCTTTTAGTATAATAGACTATGAAATTGTAAACTCCTAATGATTCAGCGTTATTGTTTCTCATTTTAACTTCAAATGACATAAGTTTGAATTCTACGTTAACAAAGATCAAACCACAGTCAAGTAGGATTTCCTGTCGATTACTTCCCATAACCTACCATTGTTTTGTTGTAATTGAATGATTATTTTTCTCTAAAGGAGACTTCATTGGACTATGAACGAAAACAGATAGCAGATTCATTTTCCAAATTGGAAATTCAATTTCGTGAACATAATAAGTTGGCTACAGATGTAAGTTTTTATCATTATAAATATTATTATTGTCTTAATAAGTTAGACAACCACTGAAAGTCTTGAAGAGCTGAATGGTCGTTTAGTCATTGTATAGGACTCTTTAAAAACGCTCATCCGTAACCCTGCCATCGGGAATCGAACCTAAAACCTTTGATCTCCCACGCTTTAGATCATTAAGTCAATATTTGATGGTATACAAATGTAATTGTAGATCAGTTATGTCTTCCATTAGAACATAGTAATGTAGTTGACTGTATTTAGGGTTTATAAGACTGTGAAATCTGATATATATGACTAGGAGAAGTTCCATTGGGATTAGCGAAATCAATGGATACAATGTGATTATCGGTATGAAGATGATAACGACATTTGAAGCGAACAATACTGGGTTCCAGTACCGGAGGGAACGTCAACTCTCGGACCTAGGTACATGCACTCGACGAGTCCCAATTAAGATTAAATGCGCATCCTTGATTGCATTACTAGTCACTATCATCTCTGCTTATAACGCCTGTGACTTAAGGCAATATCGAGGTAATTTGCACAGGATACACATATGCTTATAACACAAGGATCATTCGCAGTTCTAAATATAAATGAGAAAGTTCAAATAACTGATTCAAATGAATATGAAAATGAGTTTAAACAAGACTTCTTGTTAATCCAAATTGATATATATAGTATAATGGAAAGATGAATTTAACAATATGTTATTCATCAAAATCAATACATTGAGAAATATTCAGTATCTATGTTAACCTCATCAATTTTAAAGGCCTTAATTTGTTACAAATGTATGGCCATGACCTAGACCATTTCTCACCGGCGCTGTTAACATCCGTCTATCAACCAAACGACGTGTTTACTGCGCATCAGTTCGTTCCGTCCTACTTTATGGCTGTGAAACATGGCCGGTAAGAGTAGAGGATATCCGTAGGTTACTAGTATTCGATCATAGGTGTCTTCGAAACATTGCTCGTATATCCTGGGACCAACGAGTAAGTAACACAGTTGTTAGGAAACGGGTACTAGGTAAGGATGGCAAATCGATTGATGAAGTGGTGAGACTTCATCAGTTGAGATGGCTGGGATATGTGTTACGTATGCCCAACCACTGACTGCCTCGACGTGCTATGTTCAATGGTACAGGAGTAGGTTGGAAGAAAGTTAGGTGCGGCCAGACCAAAACATGGAACAAGTCTATAAAGTCACTGACAAGTGAAATGAGTCATGTTGGTAGGTGTAGACTACCTGGTTGGGATCCGCGAGATGATAGCAACCGATGGTTAGAGACCCTGAATGACATGGCCCGAAATCGTTTGTGATGGCGCAGGTGCATCCACTCTTTGTGTTCTCCCAAATTCTAATCTTCTGAATTCTTCATCTCCCTTATTTTCTTTCCAAATTTATTTTACTGGATTATACTCTTTAAGTAACATCTTCAAGCCCTAATGTTTCCGATTACGGCTTATACGCTTACCCCTTCTACCACTACGGGATTTGGATCGACAACTGCATCTCTATGCTAATGTAGTGTGGCAACTCGAACTGATGTATGTACGTACGAAGTTCTACGTTGTCACTGACTGACTGACTGACTCGTTTTACAGTCCACCACCTCTGTGCATGATCAACTATAATATTACTGTCAACTATTACTCTCCATCTCTTTATTACACTTTGTAAGGTAAACGAAAGTTGTTTAAGAAAAACATTGAAAATTTTGATGTCAATACTGTTCAATTCTATCGTATTAGGTTATAAGAAATTATCCCACACAATATACCTCAATACATTTCAAGTCAAATTGTTGTTCTTCATCTTTGAAATGATCTTCATCGTTAATGAACTCAGTGTTAAGCTTCATTGTTTACTTTCAATCCAGTGAAGTAATCTGAAGCAATAATTGAAATGCTACATGGTACTTGATCAAATTGCTTTATCGAATGTTAGCTGTTATTTCTTACATTCTAGATTTATTAGTTCAATGTTACTTAGCATTTTATTTAGAATGAATATGACTAAATTAATCAATAATTCCTTCATTTGTTTATGAATAGCTGATATAGCATCAGTTCATGACATATTCAACTGTGAGACTAAACTATATTGATGAATGCAGATTACTTGGTTGGTGTCCGTGCGGTAACCATAATCCAGTGATTTAAGGTGTTTAGTGATATGATTTAGAATCAATCACATAGGGGGGAATCCACTTTTTGGTTTTCTATTATATCTTTGACTTTAAAATGATCATATGCTTTTTTTTAATTTACAAATTCATTCTTCCATGTTGAACTAAATCATCAGTGACTAATGTTTTCTACTAGTATGGTAGTATTACTACTTCTGTTGCTATGAGATTGATCTTGCTGTGCTTTTTTGGTATGATAACTTCAGCTGATATACAATATATGTCAGGTTCTACGTTGCCTATGAATGATCAACTAAATGGTTGAGATCAATGTAAGGAGATACAGTCCTATGGTAGTCGGTAATCAACAATAGTTTCATACACCATTCATTTCCTTAGAATCCTGGAGCCCATGCGCACCATTGGTTTTCCAACACCCCTAGGTGGTCCCAGTTAAAGCGCCGTAAACTCGCTTTTCGTCCTTTCAATTTCGTAAACAACACCCCTGACACGGGAAGGAAGTGGCTGTATTCGCTGACATTGTGAGAGTATTTCGAGAGGGGTAGCTGACTCTCTCCACTCTCGGATGTACCCCAAGGCATTTGGAGGCATTATATCCACAACAATTGATATTACCGTTAACATCTGTATAAAATACACAGTTTTTATAATAAAACTGAAAATAGAATGGATATACATTCTTAGTTGAATAACTAACGATTATCATTTTTTGGGGTTCATTTTTATTATTGAAATCTAGGATAGATGGTTAACAAAACAAGAACATGATAGATTGGCAAAAATTCAAATTAGTTTAGAAGAAGAGAGACGTTGTCTTATTGAACAGTCAGGAAGAGCACGTGCTGAAATGCAACAATTAGTAGTAAGTGAATTCTATTTATCCGTTTTGATATGATAAATACAATGAATTGAATAATATAGTGTTGATTTGTATAGAGTATTTATCAGTCAGTTAGTCAGTTACAACGTATGACCCAGGCAACGTAGACTATACCTCATTAGCACAACAAGATGAACATCGGATTCATAGAAGTAGTTAATTCCGTGATGGTAATATAGAAAAGAAAGATTGAGTATTGATCATATATTAACGCAAGTTAGGGTTTGCTTCAAAATCAAGTAACAGTAGACAACTATTCCTTCCTATGATAAAATTCTATAGCAGCTCAAATCCATGACTATTAGCAAGTGAACAGGTGAGTCATGAGATATGAAAAAGATTTTAAACAGGGTTCGAATCCCATGAGCGGGGTTGTGAATGCGCACTGCTAAAGAGTCCCACAATAGGACGAAATGGCCGTCTAGTGTTTCCAGGCTTTCAATGGTGGTCTAACATCAACCGGTTCAAGATCTCAATAAATAACTTAATAATCTCTACAACCCTATACTGAAAACTAATAATAGTTTGATTGTTAATGGCCTAAATATTCATCATAAAGATACATAGAGAAATTATCATTGGGAATGGATGGCTCAGCATGATAAGATAAAATTCAGATGAAATGTAATTAGTAGGATCATAGAAACAGAAATAAGTCAGTTGGGGGTAGAAGGTTTAAAGAGAAGATGGAAGAGGAGGCAGATGGCTGTAAAGGGAGAAAAGTATGAAGAAAAAAATTATAAGACATTAAGACATGATAGAAGAAGAGGTTGTAACAACTCTTTTGGATACACAAGTCTGGTTTTCCCAGATCTATGGCTATTGCTTCGGCAATGGTAAGAAGATACAATATAACTGCCTTTGGGAAACTTCCACTTACCTTGTAGATGATTTTAAACGCAGAGTCCGTCTTGATTGAGTAATCCGTATTCAAAATGTGTTCGATTATTGAACTTCTTATTGAGCCGTTCCCTCCCCTTCTCAGCCACACCAGATAATGTCCTTAAATTATTTTGGATAAAGTACGCATCGAACAACCTATATACCTAGCTCCATATGAGCAGGTAAATTGGTAAATGCGCATTGAATGGTCAGATGAGATCATTTATCCTTAAGATTATTGATGAACAATGGAAAATATTATTCTCAGCGTTGCTGCGAAGAACACTTTTTTTAAAGAATCAGAAATCCTCTTCAAAACGTATGTAGCTCTCTTACTCTTAAAGTCCATGTTTATCTATAATGTTTTCTTTTTGACTGAAGTTATTTGTGTTTAAAGCGGTTTCAGTTTTATGTTTTCATTAATGAATATCGAAGGATACCCGTTTTTGATAAATATTCCCTTCAAAAGGCCCAGTTTAGTCATCTATAACTGTGGGATTACAATTTTTTTGTATTCTCGTACCGAGTGATATTATGACATTTCGTTTTTCACTAATGGGGATCCAGCTGTAAAAACTTGATAGTTGGTCATTTCACATAAGTCTTCTGTAAATAGATCTTCTAAGAGTTCCATCTCGTTTTGTTATCATTCCCATAAGTATAACTTTGAAAATGAATTCACCGAAAAGAGAACTCTTCAATGAATCAGTCATTTTTAATTAATATCCTTATTTCACTGATTGAAATCATGAGCCAATTATAGCTAGACCACCATGGAAAACCTGGAAGCACTGGAAGGCCGTTTCGCCCTAGTATGGGACTCCTCATCAGTGCGCATCCACGATCCCGTACCCTGCGAGATTCGAACCCAGGACCTATCAGTCTCGCTAGTGGCTGACTTCAAGAGATACTCCTAGAGTTCTAGTGAGAAGCCGTTACCAGTGGAGTTCAACCAGGTCAGTTGTGAGATAGGAACTCACTGATGACAATGGTGGATGTGTCACTCAATTTCGTGGATTAGTTGAAGTTAGATAATGACACCGTTGGATATCGGCTCAGTGGTCTTGTTGGTTAAGCGCCTGGCGCGAGACTGATATGTCCTGGGTTCATATCACGCGAGGTGGAATCGTCGGTGTGCACTCCTGAGGAGTCCCATACTAAGATGAAACCGTCGTCCAGTGCTTCTAGGTTTTCCATGGTGGTCTAGCTTCAATTGATTCACGATTTCAATCAGTGAAATCTCTAAAATCTCCACAAAACCCCTTCTGATAATATCCTAATTGTTTAAAATTTCTCATTTTCCTAAAAGTTCAAAGATGTCAGTTATACACTAATCCTCTTATCATTTTCTATAATGTCAGGAACTCAATTTTTTCTACTCATTAGGAGAGAACAAAACTCAATATTCAATATATTTGAAACTATCAAGTTTAACCTATGATATATTATATTATTATTACCTTTATTCAATATCCTATTTTTAGTACAGTATAGAATGCTCAACACAGAGTATTTCAACAGGTTCCCGTTTCTTACTTCTTGGTCGTTTCTAATGACAGATATTGAGTGGTCTCGTCGACTGAATTCTCTGGTATTGATCTCCTACCAGGAGGTCCACTTGTCGACTTACAATACGCAGATGACATAGTCCTGTTTGATGAAGACGCTGATAAAATGCAAGGTCTTTTGGTAGCACTAAGCAACAATGCCAGGATGTTTGGAATACGATTCTCTCCCTCTAAATGCAAGTTCTTACTTCAGGACTAGTCTGCGTCGACACCTGAACTAAAGATAGGGAGTGAAGTAGTCGAACGCGTTGACAACTTCACTTATCTTGGAAGTCTGATCAGCCCTAATGGGTTGGTGTCTGACGAAATCTCAGCACGGATTCGAAAAGCTCATTTGGCTTTTGCCAACTTACGTCACCTATGGAGAAGGCGAGATATTCGTCTACCAATGAAGGAGTGTGTATACTGCGCGGCAGTCCGTTCTGTTTTAATTTACGGCAGCGAAACATAGCCATTAAGAGTAGAAGACACTCGTAGGCTACTAATATTTGACCACAGATCCCTTAGAAATATTGCTGGCATCTGCTGGGATCACCAGGTAAGTAATAGTGAGGTTACACGCATTGTATTAGGGAATGATGGTAAATCAGTTGATGAGGTTGTTAATCTTCATCGACTGAGGTGGTTGGACCACGTGTTACGTATGCCTGAACACCGATTACCACGAAGTGCAATGCTAACCAGTGTTGGAGATAGTTGGAAGAATGTTAGGGGCGGCCAAACCAAAACTGACTGATTGAGTGTTCTTCAGATAGAAGTTAGCAGTTCAGGAATCGACATGTGAATAGTATACATTCTTTTCTTTGCATATTGCTAACAACTACGATATCTTTAATTAAGCTTTTTTGTAACTTGTACAGCGGAAGGTTGTAAACTTTTCATAAATACACCTTAATAGGTTGTGTGATTAATAAACATAATATTGTGTTAAATCAAGCAAAAACAGATAACTTGTTAAAATATCTAGAGTACAGAAACAGGTAGCCTAGATGTTTCAAGTAGGCCACCACATATCACGTCCGAGCGAACCCGACTAGGGATCGTTGCAGGCTTCAACACGTCAGAGTGCAATGGCAAGGCTCCACCTGGAGCTAGATCATTCATAATCATCTTGATCCTGACATTGATATCTAAAAATAAATCAAATTGATTGATCATAGAAATTCATTTATAGTAAACTTATTTTCAAATTTTCCTCCTTTAATATTTTAGTCTACTTTCATCAATGAACATCGTAATGCTCAAGCAAAAAATTTAGAAGAACGTAATTTAATCGCTGAAGAACATCAACGTCTACGTACAGAACAATTAAATTGGGAATCGAAACAAAAATCAGATGAATTAGCTTTAAAAAAGTATTGTATATTTTTTACTTTATTTTAGTTGAATTATACTCAGTTAACTATCTAAAATGAACACCGTTGGATGCTGACCCAGTGATCTAGAGGTTAAGCGCACGCATGCGAGACTGATATGTCCTGGATTCGAATCTTGCAAGGCAGGATCGTGGATGAGTACTGTTGAGAAATTCCAAAATAGGACGAAACAGCCATCCAATGCTCCCAGGTTTTCCATGGTGGTCTTGCTTCAATGAACTCATGATCTCAACTACTAAAAATTACTATAATAATAATATCCATAAAACCCTTTTGATATATAAAATGTATCTAAATGTAATTTGTATGTGATTTACCTCACAATTTTTTTTTAGCTAAATAAACTGAAATAAGCTTGAAATTCCAAGACAGAAGGTAAAAATTTTTCTGCTAAATGAACCATGTCCTTCACTGAAACGAATAATTATTCAAATACAATGTGTACTGTAAATCAGATTATATGGGGGTTGGAGGTAGTCGACAGGAAACCCTGGACCCAGGTTTCGTGGCTACTTGGTTTCCTGTCGACTACCTCCGACCACCATCTAGTCTCAATATTTAGTGCCCGCAATGTCGAGTCACCTAGACTGGTAGCCATATTGTGACATGATCGATAGCATTCGATCTGCATTAAATAAGAAATTGACACACATGATATTGATCATCACCCAGTGATCAATCTACTGTGTAAATCAAATGATAACACATGATTGTGTCAAGTTGAACTTATTAGTTATCAACGAAAATAGTTTAAAAGCTATTTGAAATTACACAAACATTTAAAACATAAAGTTTTGAAAAATACTGAACAAGACACAGTTAAATAGTGGGAGACATTTGTGAGATAGAAAAAGTACGATAGCATTGAATAGTATTGTAATAAATAAGCATACATCGTAATCAAGATGGTGGTTGGAGGTAGTCAACAGGAAACCTGGACCTGGTTTCGTGCTACTTGGCACTCGTCAGCAAGGTGTACCTGTAATCTTGAGGGAACTGGTGCTCCCTGGCGGATTCGATCTCGTGTCACCCAGCTTCACAGTCAGAGACGTTACCACTGAGCTATCCGAGCCGCGACTGACCTCCTGTAGGACTGAGATGTAATCACAATTGATTGATCACTGGGTGGTGATCAGGGAGCACCAGTTCCCTCGAGACCACAGGTACACCTTGCTGACGAGTTCCAAGTAGCACGAAACGCCGGTCCAGGGTTTCCTGTTGACTATTTCCAACCACCATCTAAATCTCAATATATAGTGCCTGCAGTGTCGAGTCACCTAGACTGATGGCCACATTGCAACATGATCGATAGCATTCGATCTGCACTAATAAGGACTAGACAAGCATGACATTGATTGCCACCCAGTGATCAATCAATTGTGGATACATCGTAATCAACAAGTCATAAAATTCAGTGAATATAAGACAGGTTACTGAAAAATAATAAGTAGTGTGATGTGAAGCAATAAAAAGACGGAACAAGGATCCAATGAAAGTGATGCTAACGGACAGGAAATATCATTCGTTTATGTTTATGTTTTCTCATCGTTAGTACTTAGGAGTACACATGATCAAAGTATCTGCTAATATAATATTCCCCTCTAAGCGGGTGTCTTAACAGATTAAACAAGAGTGGAATCAAAGATGAAAGTTTCATCTAGTTCATTACTCGTTACTTGGATGATTCCAGTGTTAATATTCAATGCTAAATCTTTAACATAATCCCTTCGATCTTCTGGAATTTTTATCCCAGTAAATAGTTCATTTTAAATCAACGGTTACTGAGTTATTTAAACACATATTTATATGTATTCGTTCTTGATTAATATTTGTGAGAATTCTTCAACTAATCATTAGAATGTATATAAAGTTAGTCAATCTACTGGTTCTGCTTCAGATATTCATCAGCAGATTTCTGAAAACAAATATTAAACCATTCATTGAAAGTTTGTACACTAGAATTTAAATGAATGCTTACTAAATTGATATATTTCTGTAGAATGTAAGATTCAAGTTCTCATGCTTGATTCCCTATTGTACATCAGATACATATCATTAAGGAGCATACAGTATATCTTGCGAAAATCCAACATCATTGTTTCGATTAATCAAGCATTAAACACTGTTTTTACAATGCTTAAACGTTCACAGTATATAAATAAGCTGATTGGACTGACTCATGGACACATCGTGTGAACGCGATACTGTGCATGATTTATTTACTTAAATCAGGCAGTTATTGGAAGTAGTCAACGGGAAACTTTAAGGCTTGGTTTTGAACTGTTTCACACTCTTAGTCTTGAAAAGATTGATACGCCCCGGTGAGTTGGACCCCTAATTGATCAGTCCTTTGTCCAAGACTTTACTAAGCTACTGGTACGATGACTAGTTTATTATAAGACTGTGATGTTATTTATTATTATTTGTTTTTATTTAAACACATAAACATTGGTACAAGGAGGCACCAATAGATATGCCCATATAAATCATCCGGTTTATATGAGGGCTGTGATACTGCCCAGGTATCCAGACCGAAGCAGGTGAATATCTTAGGAGAGAACGCCCTGAGCCTTCGACCTGAATATCTGATCCACAAGGCAGTGGAGGATCGTGAGGAGATGCAGTCCCATGGTAGCCGGTGATCAACGATTGGTTCATACGCCATTTGTTCCCGCAGGATACTGGAACCCATGTGCACCATTGGTTTGGAATCCGGTTAAAGCCCTGGACATTCGCTTTTTGTCCTCTGAATTTCGTAAACAACAGTGATGCCACGAGAGGACTGTGATATATTTACAATTGATTAACGATCGTTTCCTTCAAGATGATAGGTACACCTTGCTAATAAGTGTTAAATATCAAGAAACTTAGATCCAGGATTTCTTATCGACAATCTTTTACAACTTCAAAATATAGTACACATAATATCGAATCACTTAGACTTGTGGCCATATATTACATCTGAATCAATAGAACTAGAACTCAATCAGTACTAAGAAGAACTTACATACATAACATTGGTCACTACTCAGTGATCAATCAGTTGTACTCACTAACTATAAGTTCGACCAGAGCAAATCCTACTTACTTACGAATTCAGCGGTTATATGAGGGATACATCATACAAACAATCTTTGTCTTATCTCCCTTTCTATCTCTCTCATAACAGTTAGATCAATCAATAGCTTGAAAGGTACAAAGAATATACTTATTATCATTACTGAAACAGTATGTTTCCATTCACTAATTAAAACAATGTTACATTAACTGTAAATCAAATTACTGGGTTTTTTTTTCTATCGACTATGTTTGTTGTTACATAAGCGATACAATTTTGTACATCTTTTCCCCTTGATTATGTCATCAATAATATTGACTTATTTAAAGAAATCAATTCAAAAAGATAAAAACAAGACAGAAAGTCATATATATATATATATATATATATATATATATATATATGAGTTCAACCAGCTCTATTGTGAAATAGTAACTCATTGATGACAATGGTGGATGTGTCGTTCAATTTTTTGCATTGGTTGAAGTTAGACCTAATTAATACCGTTTGATATCGGCTAAGTGATCTAGTGATTAAGCGCTCGCGCGCAAGACTGATAGGTCCTGGGTACGGATCTCGCGAAGCGGTGTTGTGGATGCGCACTACTGAGGAGTCCCATACTAGGACGAAACGGCCGTCTAGTGCTTTCAGGTTTTCCATGATGGTTTAGCTTCAATTGGCTCATGATCCCTTGTTATTATATTCGATATTTATTCTATTTAAATACATAAACATTGGTACAAGGGGGCACCAAATACATATACGTCACACAATACCAATGAGGCCAGTAGTATTTATCATTGGTCTGTGTGAAGGCTTCGATACTACCTGGGTGCTCAAACCAAAGCAGGTGGTTTTACCAAGAGGTCACACCTCAAACCTTTGACCTAAAGACCTAATCCACAATGTAGTGGAGCAACCATAGGAGATGCACTTCCATGGTTTGTATTCAGAATAAGTAACAAATTTCATTGGTGAATTATATTCGTAATTGTATTGTAATGATGGGAAGTGAATTCCGCCTGAAGCTCCTTCGTGCTACTGCGCAAAATTTCGGATCCGTTGACTAGACACTATCAACAACAACTTATTATGGGAGAGAATAAACCAGATTCCAGCAGAGGAATAAATTAGGATAGGACACACATTGAGGAAAGCGTTCAATTGCGTCACAACGCAAGCCCTCACATGGAATCCTCAATGCCAAAGGAAAAGAGGAAGACAAAAGAACACATTATATCGAGAAATGGAGATAGACATGAGAAGAATGAACAAACATTGGATAGAATAAGAAAGGAAGGCGGAGGACAAAGTGGGTTGGAGAATGCTGGTCGACGGCCTATGCTCAATTGGGAGTAATAGGCGTAAGTATGGAAGTAAGGATACGGAGTGACGAATGCACTCTACTGAATAGTCTCATACAAAGATGAAACGTCTGTCCATTACTTCTATATTCACAATAGTGGTCTAGTCAAGGTATATGTTTAAGACAGTATCATCTTTTCATATTGTTCAGTTCATGTTCAACGTGATCAATTGTTACCTTTTTATTTGTTAGAAAACATTTTAACTGTCAAATTTTACTTGATTAACATTTTACTATTTAGGCTAAAGAAGATATTGATACAATGAAAGAGAAATTAGCAATGGAACGTCAATCATTTAATGAGAAAATGAATAAATTAAGAATTGATGAAATGAAATTAGAAGAAACTCGACGACAATTGGATATCGTCAGGTGATTTATTGTTGTGTTGTTTTTCCTTTACACAAAACTATGTGTTTCATTGTGAATAATTTAAATAATTAATGATCAATATTGGGGTTTAGTAGATTGTTAAATTTTTGATCGAGATCATGAATTAAATGATGTTAGAAAACCATTGAAAATCTGGAACCACTCGACGACCGTTTCGTCCTATTTTGGGACTATTCAACGATGATCAGTTGAGCTAATCCATGTCATGTAGGGACATGTATCTACCTCAATACAATGGAAGATGGTCGCGCAATTTCGTGGATTGATTGAAGTTAGACATTAACACCATTGAATTCCGATTCAGTGATCTAGAGTTTAAGCGTTCGCAAGAGAGACCAAAGACCCTGTGTTCGAATCCCGTGTGCGGGATCCTGGATTCTCACTGATGAGGAGTCTAGTGCTCCCGTGTTTTCGATGATCGTCTAACATCATTCGATTGATAATCTCAATCAAGAAATTAATGATCAGCTAGTTGACCAAGTTCACTGCTTTTCCCGATTTTTTACATACCTCATGTTTTCAATTAATCAGCCCTTCCAAGATCACTGACTTATCAAACAATGATGACCAACTTGATCTTTTCAACATCGATCATTGTGATTGAATAATCGGATTGGTTTATAAGAATTTAAGATGTTGATTTGATTGCATCTCTATTCGCTGGTAGACAAAGTCTATTGAATAGTGAATAAAATAGGTAACAAGTAATGATCCCATAAAAATTGTTTTCTGGAATTTGCTAAAAACGTTTCAAATGAGATCAAATTATATTTTTTGATGGAGTTTTGTTCTCTGAGTTGAATGATTTAGTCGTGGAGCTTTCATTGTTCTTCTAAACAACATCATCAGGTCCTAGAACATAGACACACATTCAGACGCCCCACAATGGTAGTATTTCTCGACCTTAAGGCGGCATTTGACTCTGTTGATCGTAAGGTTCTATGGCAGCGTTTGTCACTGAAAGGAGTACCAAAGAAGTACATTAACCTTGTAAAGGCTCTCTACTCAAACACAACAGGTCGAGTGAGAGCTTATGGCGAACTGTCATCAGAATTGATTACCTCAAGTGGTGTTCGTCAGGGCTGCCCCCTCTCTCCATTCTTGTTTAATTTTGTGGTCGACGTACTTTTAGAGATAACACTTTCCTCATGTAAATTTACAGGGGTTGAACTTCTACCAGAAGATTTATTTGTTGACTTGGAATATGCCGATGACATAGTTCTATCTGGTGAAGACGCTGACAAAATGCAGAGTCGTCTGACCACTCTGAGCAACAATGCAAGCATGTTCGTGATGCGATTCTCCCCCTCGAAATGCAAAATGTTGCTCCAGGATTGAGTTGCATTGACACCCGAACTAATGATAGGGAGTGAAGTAGTTGATCGTGTCGACCGCTTCACTTATCTTGGAAGTCTCATCAGCCCTTGTGGTCTGGTGTGTGACGAAACCTCAGCACGGATACAGAAAGCTCGACTAGTTTTTACCAACTTGCGTCATTTATAGAATAGGCGAGATATCCGTCTATCAACCAAAGGATGGGTTTACTGCGCAGCAGTTCGTTCCATCCTACTTTATGGCTGTGAAATATGGCCGGTAAGAGTAGAGGATATTCGTAGGTTACTAGTATTCAGTCATAGGTGTCTTCGAAACATTGCTCGTATATCCTGGGACCATCGAGTAAGTAACGCAGTTGTTAGGAAACGGGTACTAGGTAAGGATGGCAAATCAATTGATGAAGTGGTGAGATGGCTGTGACATGTGTTACGTATGCTCAACGACCGACTGCCTTGACGTGCGATGCTCAATGGTATAGGAGTAGGTTGGAAGAAAGATAGGTGCGGCCAGACCAAAACATGGCACAAGTCCATGAAGTCACTAACAAGTGAACTGAGTCATGTTGGTAGGTGTAGACTACCTGGTTGGGGACCGCGAGATGAGAGCAACCGATGGTTAGAAACCCTGAATGACATGGCCCGAAATCGTTTGCAATGGCGCAGGTGCATCCACTCTTTGTGTTCTCCCAAATCCTAATCCCCTGAATCCTCCTTGTCTCTTTTTTTCTCTTTCCAAATTTATTTCACTGTATTATACTCTTTAAATAACATCTCCAAACCCAAATCCTTCCGATTACTGCTTATACTCTTACTACCTCTACCACTACGAGATTTGAATAGACCATTACATCTCTGTGCTAATGTGGTGTGGCAACCCGAACTGATGTACATACGTACGAAGTTCTACATTGTTACTGACTGACTGAATGAATGAATGAGGAGTGAAGTGTTCTCCATATATGTCATCTTGTACTTTTTTTCTCACCATTCACTTGTTCTTTTTTTCATACAGATGTGATCTTGTTCGTGAACAAGACGTGTTAACACATCGTGAAGAATATTTAGATCAACGACAAGATGAATTAAATAAACGTTCTGAAGTTTTAAATCAAACAGAGAAACTATTAAAAGAATCTGAAACTCGACATCGTCGTTTACAAGATGAACAAAGTAAACAATTCACTGAATTACAAGAAAAAAATCATAAGCTACATGAAATGGAAAAACAACTTGTTCTTGTAGGTCTTTGTTTTTGTGGTAGAAGAAGTTAGTTAAGAAAGGTTTTTGTGTAAAGACTGGTTCAATCTGTAAGGTATATTTGTTACAGATTGATCATAGTTCGTTAAGCTTCCCTGATCTTGGAAGGGTCGTATCTGAACACTTCTGATAAGTCTTGTACTAGAACAAAATAGATATTCAGTACTTCTTGGTTGATAACAAATCAAGTCATTCTGATCAAAATGTCTTCAATTAAAGCATAGTAGTCAGATCTTTAATGACTTACTTTAAGATACTCTTAAAATTCGAATAAGATATGACTGATGAGGTCCAGACATATCTGGAGTAAAACAATTGTCGCCAATGGCATTTATTTATCATCACACTTTAATTTAAATAGAGTTGTTAGGTGTTCGAAGTAAGACACAGAAGGTTCTGGCTTCGATCCCCGATATGATTGTAAGTGTGAACTGTTAATAGTCTTGGCCTTTAGTGGTACCTCGACTAAGATCAGTTTGTAACGAATACGATCATTAGTTTCAATGGACACACACAATACAACTATTACTGATATATATTTATTGAGGTTATTTTAACGATAGACGCTAGACCATACCTCTGAAATTCGTAAAAACCACAGTACATAATCACACACGCTTTAAGCATAATTGAACCATTGAAGAGGCTCAAAGTGAAGTACTAATCTTCTATAAATCAGATGTTTACTTACTACTACCTTGTTATGTCCTGATAAGAATAACGAATGGTAATCATTTGGGATCCATCTATGGATCAATACTAAACGTATTTTGTTATTGTATAATTGTTATCTAACTAAACTATTCATATTCGTGTTCCTCTTATTATGAGCTTCATTTTGACCTATGAATGATTATTATACGATTTACCATTCCTTAGTTATGCCCTGTCTATTAGTCACTGCCTTCCAAATTCACAGCCACATTTGGCCAAATTGTGTACAAATGTTATTTTCTATTTTATGCTATGTTGTGGTCTGTTTGATTGGTATATAAACTCAGTATGTTTGAAATATAATGTTTCATATCGCAGAGGCTGAGATTGGCGTTCTGGACTTGACTGGCTGGGCTAGTCAGAAATCAGGCCCGATATGTACTGTAGACCGCTCATACGGGTTTACGCGTCATTGATTCGATTGATATGTCACTGCTGCCTAATTGATGATATCATCACGTTATACGTTAACAGGGCACTCAGGTCACAAGTTATAACATATCTCTACAAAATAACAAGGTTATTTTACAGTTTATGACTAAATCATCCAGCTCAAAAAACAAACCTCTATTACAATCATACATATGAGCTACAAATCTTCTCCACTACGAACTATCTGCCCTGCCTATCTGCTCTGGAAAATGTAGAAAGCTTCGAGTGCTTGGATAGCATCATCAATTAACAAGGAGGATCTGATGAAGATATGAAGGTAAGAATTAGCCATACAAGGACAGCATTCCTAAAATTGAAGAACATATAAAAATGAAAACGACTGTCAACAAATACCAAAGTCAGAATCTTCAATAGGAACGTCAAGATAGTTCTACTGTACGAAGCCGAAACTTGGAGAACTACTTCAAACGTCATCAAGAAGGTACACATACTTATAAATAGCTGTTAATGAAAGATACCTAACTTCCATTGGCCGGACACCATTAGCAACGCCTAATGTGGGAGAAAACAAATTAGCTTCCAGATGAAAAAGAAATTAGGAAAAGACGATGGAAATGAATAGGACATACATTACGCAAATCGTCAAACTGCATCACGAGGCATGCCCTAACTTGGAATCCTGAAGGGAGGCGGAAAAGAGGAAGGCCAAAGAACACATTACGTCGGGAAATAGAAGCAGAAATGAAAAGGATGTATAGGAACTGGAAGGAGCTGTAAAGGATTGTCCAGGACAGAGTTGGATGGAGAATGCTGGTCAGTGGCCTATGCTTCTTCACGAGGAATAACAGGAGTAAGTAAGTTCTATGCGGTTTGCCTCCATATTGCGATTTCTCTATGAATTTTTTTTCAAGATAAATAGATTATGTCTAGCGGTGGAAAAAAAGGATCTGAGTTTCGTCTTGTTTGAATCTCTTCAGCTGAATGTATATACATCCAAGTGTTGATGTTTAATTAATAGCACATCAATTTTTCAAATAAAACGTACTGAGCTCAAGTTTAAATGTGACTATCAACTAATACATTCAACTGACAAGTCTTAAATAGAATAAAATTTCCACGATAGATTTCATTCGTAAGCTCTATAATTGATCTATTCATGCCTTAAGTTCATTTCTCTCTGTGTTTTCTTGTTTGTTACCAAGGAGAAGAAACAATTAGCACAACAAATGGATAAATTGACTAAATGTAAATTAGAAACAGATAATCATTTAAAACAATCCATGTGTTTAAATTGTCGTATACCAGTTAAAGAAAATGGTTCTACTCATCGTTTACATCATAAATTAAACAATGATAATACAGTAATAAAGACAAATCAAAAACGAATTATAACAATGAATGGAAATAAGAAAGGTAAATTATAATCTCTGTCAATATACTATTGTAGTGAATGAGAACACAAGTAGAGACAATCTTGAGAGTATTTGAATTCATTTCAAATTTCATTGTTTCTGGATTAGTTGAAGTTAGACATTAACACCGTTGGATGCCGACCGGCTCAATGGTCTAATGGTTAAGCGCTCGCGCGCGAGACTGATAGGTCCTGGGTTCGAATCGTAGATGCGCACTGCTGTGGAGTCCAGTACTAGGACGAAATGGTCGTCCAGTACATCCAGGTTTTCCATGGTGGTCTAGTTTCAATTGACTAATGATTTCAACTATTGGAATCTCTATACTAATTACTTTCCGTTTCCATTCTTTCCTTCTTGAGCTTCTACTGCCAAAGATTTATTACTCACTAGGGTTATATACTACTTATGTCAATATAAGTAGCACACATCACACTATTAATTCATTGTAGTTTAGAACTCATTTTCATAGTTGAAATCAAATACCAAATCTAATAATACACTTGATAGAGTATTTGATCAATGAATCAAATTATAATATTAGACTATTGTCATCATTGAAGTTTGAAATTTGGATCACACCATTTTTAAAACTTTTGTATTTGTATCCACTTGATGTTGTATAGTCGTATCTTCTTATTGTTATTTAGGACTGCAATTGCTCATTCTCTTATTGGCATATGTACATCCTGTGTGGAATGCCTTAATATTGCCTGAAGTCACAGGTTTTATAAGCAAAGATGGATAGTGGATAGCAGTGGAATCCAGGGCATGTGTTTCATCAGCTGAATGTACTTGCATCTCAGAGTTGATGTTGACCTGCACAAGTAGATGGCTATCATGACTCAGTAGCTAAGTGGATAATGCGATGGGGTTTGAAGCGAACGGCACTGGGTTAAAGTCCCAGAATGAACATCAACTCCGTGATGCAGCTATATCCAGCTGACGCGTCCCCGAACTAGGACGAAACACGCATGCTGGATTCCACTGTTAGCTACTAACCATCTTTGCTTTTCATACTTATACTTGGATTTTAAAGTTTTGATTTTGATCCCTCATGTTTGTTTTTGGACGTGTATTGGTTATGTCCCTTTTGATGAGACGGGATAGTTGTCTATTGCTCTATAATGCCCAGTGCTTATCAAACTGATGTTAGTTTATGTTGAAAACTAACTTTCGGTCAAGTAGTTTTTACAAATCCAATTGAATAGCGCTGAGGTTACACGTAGGATACAAGTTAAAGAAGAGAAACCAGTTGTGTATCTTTACATACTGAAATTGTTTGAAAATATGTTATGAATATTCATAAACACCCTACCTCAACTCTGAATGTTGAATTGAATAGGAGCAAATGAAGAAGAAGAAAGCCAGGGACAGTCAAATAAATTGTAGTATCAGTGCATAAACCCATTGATTGTCGTTCTGAACCATTTTAGTTGTTGTAGACTATTCGATCTGAAGTCTTCGCGATAATCGTAAACAATGATTGCAACTAAGAATCGTCCACAATGGATCACATAAATTCACACTTTTTCCTAAAATATACATACTTTTCATTTTATGAATTCATTCTTTGTTCTTGAATAACACTACCTATCCTAAATCCCTTTTTATTACCATCAAGTTAGTTATAACTTCTATTGCTCAGGTAATTGTCTTGTTACTTACTTACGCCTGTTACTCCTCGTGAAGAAGCATAGGCCGCCCACTAGCTTTCCCCATCCAACCCTATCCTGGGCAATCCTTTCCAGCTCCTTCCAGTTGCTATTCATCCTTTCCATATCTGCTTCTATTTCACGAAGTAATGTGTTCTTTGGTCTTACTCTTTTCCGCCTCCCTTCAGGATTCTAGTTAGGGCTTGCCTCGTGATGTAGTTTTTCTGGTTAGCGATTTCTCAGCGAGTTAGTCTTCTACGGGATGGGGACGCTAACCCCATGCCCAACGCTCCTCCTTTATCCGGGCTTGGGACCGGCAGTAGCCTCTGGAGGGACTTCAGGCGGAGTTTGATGATTTGCGTAATGTATGTCCTATTCATTTCCATCGTCTTTTCCTAATTTCTTTTCATCTGGAAGCTAATTTGTTCTCTCCCACAAAAGGCTGTTGCTGATAGTATCAGGCCAATGGATGTTGAGTATCTTGCATAGACAGCTATTTATAAATACTTGTACCTTCTTGATGATGGTTGTTGTAGTTCTCCAAGTTTCAGCTCCGTACAGTAGAACTATCTTGACGTTCGTACTGAAGATTGTGGCTTTGATATTGGTTGAAAGTTGTTTTTTGTTCCATATGTTCTTCAATTGTAGGAATGCGGCCCTTGCTTTGTCAATCCTCACCTTGTCTTATTAGTTGAATCTATTTATGGTAATATAGTGTGACCATATAAAATGATCCACATTATTGAACGAGAGGGGGACTATTGAATACTAAAATTATTTTGGACAACTGTTCTATTTTAGTCATAAAGCATTTGATAATAGTGTGTACTCCCTTAACCTTGAATTATTGACTTAACAATCTAAGTTTAACATTTACACTTTGATGATATCCATTTCAACTATACAAGTGAGAATGTTATTTCTACTTCATGAATGATAATGATTAGTTATATTGTTGCTATGCATTTAACCGAATAAATAATCACTAAGATAGTTTTCTTTCTTATAGAATTAAGTAATGGTACATGGAATGATGTTTCACAGTTACATACTTCTCAAGATCGAGTAAGTTGTGTGAAATTTTCAATCTTTTTTCAATACTCTCTAATCTCTATTTATTTAAACATATAACTATTGGTTCAAATAGGTATCAAATAGATATGCACCACATAAGTCACTTGATTTGTATATGTGAGGAATGGGATACTGCCTGGATGCTCTGACCAAAGCAAGTAGTTTTTCTTAGGGGGGGGCAACATCCGAAGCTTTCAACGTAAACGTCTGGTCCATAAAGCAGTGAAGCAACGTTAGGAGATTCAGTTTGTAAATTCTTGTCTATGTGATACATTATAGCACATAGTTTTTCATTATCATTCTCTGAACTTTGAAGGAAAGGCTTTATTGTGAGAAGTAGGGTATCATGAAGGCTAGTAGTAAGATATATATATATATATATATTGTGGAAATCTCAGCCAATCTATTTTTTAGGACATCTGACGTTTCACCTGACAATCTGATCAAAGCTTTTTCAAGGAAATTTACAATCAAACATCATATTTATCGAATATAAATAAAGACATGGTTCTCTGGTTAACTTCATACTAAATAGATCATCCAAATAGACGTTAACAATTTTAAGAGTTAAGATCATGAGTCAATTGAAGCTAGACCACCATGAAAAACCTAAAATCTCCACAATACCCCTTCTGATAATAATCATCTGCTCACTAGTGACTGACTTCAAGAGATACTCCTGGAGTTCTTATGAGAAACCGTTACTAGTGGAGTTCAACCAGGTCTGGTGTGAGATATCAGCTCACTGAAGACAATAGTGTACGGTAGATTGGTTGAAGTTAGACATTAACACCGTTGGATGACGGCCGGCTCAGTGCTCTAGTTGGTTAGGCGCCTGGCAAGAGCCTGATAGGTCCTGGGTTCGAATCTCGCGAGGTGCGGGATCGTGGATGCGCACTACTGAGGAGTCCATACTAGAACGAAACGACCGTCCAGGTTTTCCATGGTAGTCTAGCTTAATCGACTCATGATTTCAACCAGTAAATAGAGTTTTGTCATCATAACTGATGTCAGTTCATCATGTAAACCCTTAAAATCTAATTTCTAACCCTAATTATAAACTGTAAACTATAATTCAGATCTCTCATATTGGTTTATAACCATCACTTAACCATATTATGTAAGTAGACATCTTCAAGATCACCGTAGCGTTGATCAATAGTCTTCCATAAGCTATAATCTCATCAGAATTGTACATTATACTTCATATTTGACATTGACATTTTATTATTGTTGTTGTTGTTGTTTCTCTTTACCTTTTCAGGAATCTTTTCATTTAAATGATGAAAGAGAAGATACAAAACAAGAAAAATTGTTTATTTTTGAATAATCTTTAGATACTATTAACTACTATTATTATATGTGAATAGGAAACAGTTTAGTTTCTTTGGCTCTGTTCACTTCCCCATTACTTTCTCTCTCTCTCTCTGTTTCTCTCCTTACCTCACTCTCTCTCTCTCTCTCTCTCTCTCTATCTATCTATCTATCTATCTATCTATCTATCTATCTATCTATCGATCTCTCCCCTACCTCTCTCTATCTCTTTCTGTGTATCCTTCATTTCATTTATTAATGTTTATATAAATCATTCTCTTTAACTGTATTATTCTATGTTTCTATGTAAAAGTAAGAAAACCCTATTCATTTCATTGTGTTCTTAATATTATGGATGGTATATTTTTAAAAAAAAATTAAAGTTATCACTAACAACATGGTAATATAAACTCTCAATATGTATATTTTCATAGTGATAATAATAGTGTAGTGAACAGAACACAGATGAGAACAATGAAATGTATTGGAACACACTACTAGTATTACAAATACTAATACCACTGCTACTACTACTACTGTAGTGAACACAAACACCAGTGGGGACGATCGAATGTATTTGACACAACATTACAGGACTGGTTGATAGAATCTAACAATCAAATAGTAAATACGTAATTTGCAAAATCTTCATCAATTATTTCATAATGATTCAGACTTCATTGTTCTTGCATTTTCATACAATTGCATTCTGTTTCCATTCTTTACTGTTCGATCCTCTTGTCTCTTTGCTGCCAGACCTTGTGTTCACGACTAACGTCTTCTACTACTTATGTCAATATATGTAGCACAAACCACACCCATCCCCCCTTTAAAGCAGTCGTTTTTTGCGGTGGTTCACGCCCGCCGTGCCACATTCTCCATTACTGCAGTTTGTGCTACGCTCTCCATCAAAATGTCGGGTCTGCGGCGCGCTGACCTACACAGCTCCGTTGACCTGCCGGAGCAACAACATCCGACATCCACCCGGCAACTGGACGCTTAACACCCGTCCTTAACCGGCCTGCTGAGACATCTACATCTGACGTCCGCCCAGCAGCTGCACGTCTCACCGCTCCTCTCCGTCGAGAGAACCCGCTATAGCCAACGCCGCCCCGCCAGAATACTCCTTTCGACGCCACCTCTTCGCACTAGACTACCCCAACCAGCACCTCAGCTCCAGGACCGCAACGGCGTTCGCAAAACAGCACCCCTCCCTTTCTGGCTGCCAGCGACACCAAGTGTAGTGAACAAGAACACGGGTGGGAACAATCGAATGTTTTTAACACAAAATTACAGAACTTTTTAATAAAATCTAACAATCAAATAGTAAATACGTAACTTGCAAAATCTTCATCAATTGTCTCATAATGACTCAGACTTCATTGTTCTTGCATTTTCATACAAATTGCATTCTGTTTCCATTCTTTATTGTTCGATTCTCTTGTCTATCTGCTGCCAGACCTTCTGTTATGACTAACATTATCTACTACTTATGTCAATATAAGTAGCACACACCACAATAGTGTTGATTAGAATTTTTAGTGAGATTATAATTTATGAATGACATTCTAGTGACTATGAGAATGTTCACCTACTATCTACAAAATTCAATGAGGGTTATAAACTAGTGTGAAGAATTAGAATTATGATTTACAGTTGATGCTTAAGGTTAGGGTTTTATATATAGAAGCTTAGATTCTTACTATTACCGTGTATAACATAAACACTCGGACGGCAGAACCTGTCGTCATTTAGATTGAACGATGTTTGTTGATAGACCCTCCACTTTAGTGGCCCGAGATCCGACTCCAATTTGATCGTATGAATGATTGTTAATGAAATATATATGTCTCCTAACCTTGTATATAATCACTGACTTAAATCGCGTTAGTCAGTAACGGAATTAAATAAGTCAAATAACGAGAATGGACTTTTGAATACATAAATTTTGTAGATGAAGTGAATGGAATAGAACGAATCAAAACGACGCACAGTGGAGATGGCGGGTAAGCCAACTCCCATTTCACCAAGAGTTATTCAATATTTATAGTCACACAAAAATAGACTACAGACATGTGATGAATAGGATAAGAAGGGCACACGTATATGCGCTCATATAAAAACGGTCAAGTTTGATAAGTGAATAATTAACAAGATCAAAATGTGACTCCTGTAGAATGAATAGATTGGGCTGTCCGAAAGCTAGAATAAGGCATATGAGCTTAACATAGTAACTGACACTAAAACCCATCCAAGTCGTAAATAAGACAAACAAAAGAAGACTGGAGAGGAAAGTGCTTGTTGGCTAAGAATCAAAATGTAAAGAAAATCATGGATATTTATAGATCTTATCGTTTGTTAAATCAACATTATAATCCAACCAATCTGTAAAGAGGCGTGTTATTCTAATGACCAATAGTGGTATACCGTCCTAACAGTTAGCAAATAGATTCAGATGTTTTCATCATGAACTAACATCATCTATAATGCCAAGACGCTATTTAATCAAATGGATGAATGAATGAAATTTGCGCCAAAATTCAAGACCTATTATCTTAAACCTGATTGGTTTGTTCATAAATTCTAGTCTTGCCGTAAAATTTTTTTGTTATTATTTTCATTACTATTTTGGAGTAACTATCACAGTAACGTCAAACATACTGTATGATTCCGGAGGGTTTTCAACGACTTGGGAAGTCAGTCTGTGTTTCCCGCTAGAGATAGATCGAGCCTTGCAATTGAAGTCCCTAGACGTTTCCTGCTGGGTACCATTTAGATGACGGGGGACAGAAGAAATCTGTTTTCTTGGGTTCTTAATTAAAATAAACCTCCTTGAAGACTGTCTTCCATCCTCTGATCAATGTGAGTCAGCTGTTTCCCAGCTCACTTAAGTTTGCTCCACATCAATTTGCGCATCAACAGAGTGAGTGCTGTCCGATGTGTCACGAACACGCTCGCTAAAACACTTCCGCAGCATTTACCATTGAGATGGCCTCGATTAGCAACCTGTATGCGTCCGAACAGCACTGCTGACAAAGCCATACGCAACCATTTTTGCTGAACCATATGCTTCGAATTCGTGCAAACTTCGTGGTACCAGTCTTTGTAATCATCACACTGCATGCCACTTTCAACGGGATCTCGACAGTCCAGTTGTTGACAATTGCTTTTTTTGCACTGTCCAGTCATCAAATAGAGATCGTTTCAGACAAAAAATGATCTATGACCAAAAAAGTGGAAAACTGTAAATTGTTAGAACCAAAAGTACTAACAAATACAATAGAAAACAAAGTATTCAAAAGTACCGACGATAAACTACTTTAGAAAAAAGCGGTACTCTTGTCGAATACTTTAACTGAAATAAATTCAATTAATGTGTAAACAATAGTCTTGAAACATAATAAACGATCAGGACAATAGAATTTACTCAGCGAGGAAAAATACCACTGTCCTTTTGAGCAGCGCACGAAGTTTTCTTTCACTACGTGTTAATGTTCGGTTAAAATTGTTAAAATTTGATGATTAGTTGATAAATATGCACTACTAAGAGTACTTACTTACCTACGCCAATTACTCCGGGTGGAGCATAGACCGACGACCAGCATTCTCCAACCCACTCTGTCCTCCGACTTCCTTTCTAGTTCTATACAATTATTGTTCATTCTTCTCATGTTCGTCTCCGTTTCTCGAAGTAATGTGTTCTTCGTTCTTCCACTTCTCCTTTGGTCTTGAGGATTCCATATGAGGGCTCGCCTTGCGACGCAGTTGGATGCTTTCATCGATATGTGTCCTATCCATTTCCAGCGCTTCTTCCTGATTCCTTCCTCCTCTGGAATCTGGTTTGTTCTCTTTCACAATAGGTTCTTGCTGATAATGTCTTGCCAACGGATTCGAAGTATTTTGCGTAGACAACTATTAATAAACACTTGTATCTTCTGGATGATGGCTTTCGTAATTGTTCAAGTTTCCGCCCCATACAGTAGAACTGTTTTGACATTTGTATTGAAATTACTGACTTTGGTGTTGGTTGACAGTTGTTTTGAGTTCCAAATGTTCTCCAGTTGTAGAAGGTGAGAGAAAGCAACCTTACCTAACAAACGTTCTTTACCTCGAACGAGTCTCTCTTCTATCTTCTATGAACTATTTTTCAGTTTAACCCATCATAAGAATTTCGTATAACGTTGACTATCTTCTCAGACATGCCGTAGTGACGAAGTAGCTTCCATAGCGTTGTCCAGTCCACACTATCAAATGCTTTCTCGTAATCAATGAATTTGATGTTCAATGACAAATTCCATTCAATGGATTGTTCCACAATGATCTGTAGTGCTGAGATTTGGATCGATCCTTACGGAATCTAGCCTGTTGGTCTCGAAGTTGGGCGTCTACAGAGTATTATCAAACTAAACATTCACTTGTTATGACTTTTACCTATGTCAATTATCACTTAACAAAATCAGAATATCGACTTGTATAACCTCGTTCTTGTGTTAAACCAATGACATGTCAACCAACATAAGAAGTCCTGTTTCAACTCTTCATCCTTATTGATCCTTCCCGACTAGCCTTTCCTGTTGAGTCCAGAATACCTCTATCATATGAATCATGTAGTTCAGATGTAAGCACTTTATATACAAGCAAATTAGACCGCATCATACTATCAAATGAAAGATAATAATTATACAAGATCAAGCCAAAAGTGTCTTTGAGTATAGGAAACTGTAATCAATAGATTTGGAATAACTTAAGAATAATAAATTGTGTAATGTTAGCCTCTACGTCAAATGGGGGCTTATAATAAAAGGAATAGTAATCCATAAATAATCTATAGCAGTGACTATTCATTTACTCTCCGTTCGAATGTAACACTGCCTAGATGTACCCTTGATCTAATGGCGAATAAAAAAATGTCTCCTGTTTACTATCAAATATGACAGTTATACGATAACTTGTAATGTGTGGTGTCCAAAATCTGGTACTGATGCTTGGTATACTATGCTCTAACTCCGCAACTGA